AATGGATTTTAGATAAACATTTTGATTCCAACAATGATTTATATCCATTAGGCATTTTGCACATTGTTTTCAAAGTAGTAATTTAACATAAGTTTTTTAGGTATCAATTTATCAAGTAATTAATATTGCATTAACTGGAACAAAGGTTTTATAATTATATTAATTATTATTATGATAAATAATATATATTGTTTAATTTTATAAATGAGATTAGATAATTATAATAATTCAAATGTCAAAATTGAAGTCTCCTATAGGCTAAATTAAATATGGCAGATTTTAGGGATTATTAGTAGACATTTTACTCATATTTGGTATTGGGACATCTTCATCTTGAGTTTTTAGAGAATCTGCTAACATCATATCGTGGAATCTTTAAAAATCCATTTTATCTTAGCTATTTAATCTGATTTCATTAAACATAGTATCCACTTTCACTGTAGATAATTATTTACCTCTTCTCTCAAAAGCTCGTCTAACATCAAGACTGGTAATATAGTTCTTGTTATCTATATCAAATTATTTAAATAAACCCCATAATCTCTCTTCATTCAAATATTGTTATTAATTTAATAAGGCCATCATAAATTCAGAATAATGGATAGTCAAATCACCATATGAATAACTATCTTTTTTATTTTACAATTTCAATTTTTTAATTAATTCTGATATCTCTTTTTCAGTATCATTAAACCCTAATTTTTTCATTATTTAAGTCATTTCTTTGACTGAAATTGTACCACTATTGTCTTTATCAAATTCTTCAAATTATTACCTAAGAGATTATATTTGAGTTTCATTAAGTTAATTTAATAAAATATTAAGAGTTTCTTTCTTTAGTTTTGTTATGTTCCCATAAGTTTTAAGTAATTAAATGGCTTTCTCATTTTCTTACTCATTATTAGGAATAGATTCCATTCTACTTGGAGCTCCAGAGACATAACTTTAAATCCATGAACTAGACAAAGCTTGAGCACATGTTATACGTTTTTTTGGATTTTTATCAAGCAACCTCATAACTAGCATTTTTGCATCTTTAGATATATTTTGCCAAGAATTCTCATTGAACTAAATTTCTTTATTTTAAATCTTATCCTCTAGTACCTTAAGATTATTACTAAAGAAAGGTGGCTCACCACAGAGTAAAACATACATGATACATCCCAATGACCATTCATCACAGGTTTAAGAATACTTTCCTTACAATACTTCAGGTGCAACATATATTGGAGTTCCAACTTTAGTTTAAGTTCTTACTTAGGATCTACCTTAATTTGAGGATTAAGGTGGAGGGTATTTCTTACTTAAACCAAAATCTATTATTCTGATGTCAAAGTCATCATCAGGAGAAGCCAACATGAGATTCTCAGGCTTTAGATCTCTATGGGTGACTCCTTGTTAGTGCATATAATGAACTGCTGAGAATAGCTGCTTCATCAAAATAGAGCATTTCCTTTCTGAAAAAACTCCCTTTCTCACTATTCTCTCAAATAACTCTCCTCCCCTGCAATATTCCATTACAAAATGATAGTATCTCATATCCTCATAAGTTTCATAGACTCTGATGATATTAGGGTGATCTAATTGTACAAGTATCTCTAATTCCCTTTGAATCAGATGCAATCTTTAACCAATACGACGCTATACTAATTTTTGAGTTTACTTTATCGATTGATTTCACTGCATAACATTTTGATTAAAGACCATTTCTTTCTTATTCCAAACTGAAAGCAAGCTTAACAGTTCCAAATGATCCACTTCCTAATATTTAAGTGAAACGATAAAACTGGTGTATGTTCAGTTTAGAAAACCTTCTTATTACAGATAGTTTTGATTCTTGTGGACGTAATTTACTTTTACAAATTCCCATTAAAATTTATAATATAATATTGCTCAATTTATTCAAATAAATATTCAATTGAAAATAATAATTACTAATTAAAAATGAATCTTAAATATATTTAAATAGAGATTAATCAAAATTAAACATGGACTCTGATATTTCTATTTAATTAAATATTTTATAATTTTTGTATACAATAAAAATCCATACTCTAGTTTTGATTATTTAAACAAACATTTACTCTTAATTTCCAATTATAAATATCCTATGATTTAATAACATATATATACTTTTTTGGAATATTTTTTGATAACAACTCGATTTTTATAAATGAACAAAGAGTAGTAATTTTTTATATATATTGAAATTCTTATAATAATATTAATAAATCACTCAATATTTATAAAATCATTTAATATTTCTAATATAATTTAAAAATCTTTAATCCTTTTTATTTGCTTATCTAAACCTTTTCTCCTCTGTAGTGCTACTTAAACTACTTAAAAATGAATCTCTCAAAGAATTTGAACTTTAAAAAGAAAATACTAGGTCCTTATTTGTTTACAGTTCTTCAGGAATTGAAACATTTAAATTCTGTTTTTATTCAATTAATTAAGTTTTTTTTGGTTTTTTAAATTTAATTGTCCTTTTTTTACTTGAAGTGCTTGAAAAACTCATATTTATAAGATTAACTAAACTATTTCTCAAAGAACTAACATCTTATTCTTTATCTAATTCATCAACCATCAAAATTCGTTTGTTATCATTTGTTAATATTTTAGTGTCTTCTTTATTTGTCTTAAGAATCTTGAATTACTCATTTTAATCTTAATCTAATTGTTTAAGTTTTAGAGAAGATTCCATTGATTTTTTCCTTGTTGATGATAAATTATCAGATTAATTTTTATTTCCCAAGTTAGCTTAACCAAATGTAACAGACTTAGACATATTTGAATATTTTTTAATAATGTCTTATACATTTTTTTTGGGACTAGTTGATTTTTGCATATTTTCTAATTCCAATAAGTTATCATTAGGGGATTTATATTGATAAATAGGTCTAACAAAATCTTGTAAACTAACTGACATCATTTCGTTTTTCTTGTCATTATACTTTCTTTCTGGTGTGAATTCTACACTATTTGATAATATTGGTGTGCGTAGATTTTTAACATCTTATGATTCTATCTATTAAGGTTTGGTTGGTAAATAAGGTTCCTAAGAAACTTCTTCAACATATTTATTATCTGTTCCTTTTATTTATTCTTAATTAGAGGAGAAAGATGTTTGAGATGAATCAATAGGTACTTCAACAAATTCATCTTTTTTTGGAGATATTTTAACATTGAATTTTTCAGGTGATTTTCTAGATTCATATTAATATTCATCAGATTAAATATTCTAAACATTTTCTTCATATTTATCTGGACTTTCAAATTCAGGTGGTTCATCTCCAGATATGCTGGCAATATTGGATTAATTATTTTTCACTTTATTAAATAGACATTAAGCATTAGCATTATTTAGTTGTTGATCATTAACATTATTTATTATAGGTTCTGATGAGGCAGGGATATTTTATGTACTACTTGGTTAAGATGATCCTAATTAAACAGAATTCTTTTAGAATGTGATATTGAATATTGGACTTGCTCTTCTCCATTAATCATTAAGTAATATGACTTCTTCTATAGATTTTAATTGTTAATAATATTTAGCTAGAGATCCATCAATAACTAATTTATCATTTAATTCTTTTTAAAACCATGTTAAATGATTGGCTAACAAATATATATAACCTGGTATATTATTTTTAGATGATATATTTTCTGAAATTATTTTATAAATATTGATATCTTCAATGAGTACTTTACACCAAAAAGGGTGAAAATCACTAATTGCTCTATTGAGAATATATAATAATAATTTCTCAAAGATTGAGTGAAAAATATCAGAATTTTTATATTTAAAGTAGATTTAGACAATTTGATTGAATAACTTTAATTAATTCATTTGTTTCCATAATTTTATATTAGAAATTCTTGTTAAATTATCAAAGATTTCCAATAATTTAAGTCTTAGGGTTCTGAGTCTTTTATTATCATTTTCTAAGATTTAATTAAATGATTCTACAAATAGATTCATTTCTTGAGTAAAAGTTTTCATAAAATCAGTTTATTCAAAATCAAGAGTTAATTATTGATGATAAGCAATTTCTGGATTTTCATCAATAAGTTTTTTAGTTATATTATCTTCATAGATATTTATATTTTGCATTTAATAAGAATAATAGTTGGAAATTAATGATAATATATGAGCTGAACTTTTAGCAAAGAATAATTTATCATGATTTTCTCTTAAACATTTAAACATTTACTGAATAATTTATTTACTTACTATGAATTTAACAAGTTTATGACATAAATCATTTGAAAAATATCTAGTCATTATTTCATGAATTAAATAAGTGAAATTAAGTACACTCATTTCTTCCATTACATCAAAACCACGAAATCCTAATTCAAGTACTTCTAATTTTTTATCCTCATTATTACCATTTTCAGGATTAAATAACTGAATAAGTATACTATTAACAGTGGCTGATTCAAGATGATTCAAAAATAATTTAAGTAAATCAAATTTAAATATAGTTTAACAAACTAATTTAGGTTCTTTAGATAAGATAAGAGCAAATAATCTTTATATGTTTGACCATTAAGGTTCGTGGATTTAATCTGGAGTTTTTTGTAATACATCAAATAGAGTTTTAATGGCAGTCTAAGAAGTATAAGAATTAATATTATACTTCTTAGAGTATCATTTAAGTTAAGGGTGGAAGATCAAGTTCAAAAAATTCAATTGATAGAATTGGAAATATGACAACATGATCATGATTTGTTTCTGTAACATGGTCTATTTATTATACAATTAAATCTAAGAGTTATGTTGCAATGCTTTTTTAATGTACTTTAATGAAGTCTATCACTTGTGGATTGAGATTTTTAGCTTATATAAAAAATTCATCTTCTGCCAATAGTGGTATGAAATTTGTTGGATTAATATTGTATTCATCCATCATGGTTTCCATAGGATGTTTAATAGATGTATTGGTCATTCCATTTAACCACAATAACATTTGATAAAATAAAAATATTAATCATAATTATTCCACTTTGCTAGTATCAACTATTCTAAATCTAAATAGAAAAATCAAAAACTCTCTTCCAATAATCCAAATAATTATGAAAACTGAAAAATATTAAAGCCATGCTAATTTCATTATTGCTAACAAACTAACCCATCTCTAAATTATTTATAATTTATTATTGTCTAAATTGATACTAATTCTTAATTGTTTTTCAGAATTGCCTCCTATTTTTCTACTAATATATCTAGGACGAATTTAATATGTTCTTGTATAAATCTATTAAAGCATTTCACTCATCCATTGACTATTTAGATGATTATCAACTAAGATTTCTGAATAATAATTAATATCAAAATTGCTATCATAATAAATTCAAAAATATACCTTGATGGCAATGGCTCTTATTGATAAAATTAAATTTCTCCCATTATTTACAATTATGATAAGCCTTAACCATTGATTATTTCAGATTCTTAAAAATATAAATAACAATCAAATTGGAAATGTAAACTTGCAAAATAACATTTTAGAGGTAATAATATTGTAATCTATTTTATTTTATCTGCTTCTGTGAATAATTACATATCAAAATTAAGTTATTCAGGAATATTGTCTGCATTTATGTCATCCATCAATGCCTATTATATTATTAATCATAATTTACTGATATTTTTGATCCTTGCAATGACATATATTAATATGATAGTAATTATTCAGAGCCTTCTATATTTTGATATTTTTGATTTGTAAAATGGTACACTTCATCATCTGATGTAATGATGTTTACAAAATGAAATCCCTCATATTCTATGTCCAATTATTCTTCTAATGTGGATACCATGATCCAGAAGTCTTATTAGTCAGTTGAATACTTTCAGATGCAAAAACTAGTACAAATGGTATCACTATTATACCAAAGTATACTAATATGCAAGTGCATGTTGGAATGGATATCAATTTGCTGGTGTATGTAATTTCAAATTTTTCTCTTGATAAAGTAAACATATATTAATCATTATTATTCATAAATAAACTAATCTAATTAGATGAAATCGTTCTCTATCAAGTCTTCGATATCTTCATTCACTGTGTATATTCTTATACTATTCAATTGCACCAGATAGTTACACAATTACAAAGAAATATCTTCCAATTATTATTGTCCATCTACTTTGATTTACTTTATTATTATTTCTCTCTTTTAAGGATCAGTCACATTTGTCTATTCAACTTTACTATAATCAACTTAATATTGTTAAAATAAGAAATTTGAACAATATGGTTAATACAAAAATGGAGTAATTGGTACTCCTATTCCTTAATTTTCTTATATCTTAATTCCAAAATAATCATAAATAAAAATCCATTAATGTAGGAAAAATTCATCTTATTACATGAAAGAAATCATTTCTACTAATTTAAGTGCTGCAAGTACTAAATTTTAATTTGATTGTTTATTTTTAAAAATACTAATTAATAAAGTAAGTAGTGTTGGCCACATATTTCTAAATAATTCATTTAATTAAATTGGTGATAATCTCAAAATAAGAATTCTTACACAAAATAATATAAGCATAACAAGTCCAGGATTTGCAGAATCTGATTTAATAACTTCTGAAATCTTTTCAATTAACAAATCTAATTTCTTTGTATAACGATCTCTCTCTCCACTAAATATAAGAAAACAAATTCTTTCAAATGTTTTAATTCTTCTTTTATTTTCTTCACTCTCTCTACTAAAGAAAAATGAAGATTATTGAGCAACCTACTCCAAATACTAAGTGAATAAATCACTTCTACCATATTATACAACCCAATTAATAATCTTAGTCCAATACTTTAAAGTTTGTTTAGATTATATAAAAAAATCCTCTTTGTTGAAAATGTTTAATATTGAATCTTTATAAACTTTTAATAAGACTTATCTTGCTTTATCTAATTGAAAATATAACATTTCTGAAATAATTTAAACATAAATCTAATTATATTGACTTCTATTTTCTAAAAGTGGATATAAAATATCCATCATTTCCTTACATCTCAAAACAACTCTTTCTGTCTTTTCAACAGCATATGAATTTTAGAGCAATTCTAAAGCGACATTTTTAAGTGTTTTTATACACATTAATCGATATTTTGTCTAAATAAAATCTTCAGTTACACTACTAAGTTAACTAAATATTAGTTTTTCTATATCAGTAACTTCATATTGAAGTTCTTTATTCAGTGATTTTATAACATTCAAATAAATATCATATAGAGTTGGAGTTAAAGGAGTAACTACTTTAAATTTAATAGAATATTATTGATACAAATCATCTCCTTCAGGTTTTTAACCTGGATCATTCCAAAAGATATTTAATTTTCCTCCAAATTATGCCACATATTTTAATTTATCATTTATAAATTCATGATGTTGATTTCTAAATCTTTGATCTCCAATTATTTCTTTTGGTGAATATTTACGAGTTAATAGTAATTACAATTCCAATAACCACATATTTGTACTTGGAGATTTAGATAAAGCAAGTATCTATAGAATTTTCATTGTTTATATCCAAAACGGAAGAAGATTTTCTTTTTTTAATTAATGTGAATCTATTTAAACAAAAGTGAAATAACAATATAAAAAGTATAGAATATTTGTTTCTTGTTAAGATATCTAAAAATTTAGCATTGTGGTTGTTAATTTCTTTCTTCTATATATATCATAATATTTTTGCAACTCTTGTAATTATTATGATTCCAATAGACTATCCAAAAATAGTTCTATAGGACATTGCATCATAATCATTATTTCAATAGTCTTTAATAAGAATGTGTTTTGATGGAGAGAAAAAGGATCAATCAAAATTTATTCATTATCAAAAAATAATCTTTGTAATAGGTTGATTTAATTACTCCATACTGATAGTAATGCTGTCATAAATTATTTAGAGTAACTCATAAATAATGGTTTCATCATTTATAAGATTTACGGTTTGACTATATTGGTTTCTTTGGTTTATTATTCTTATAGAATTTTATTAAATGAGTTGAATTTATCAAATGAATAAGATCCAATACCCATAGCAGTTAAAGTATCAGAATATTTGATAAAATCTTATCCTAATGACCAACAATTTATATATAATTCTAAAATGGAAGGTAATGTTGACATAATGACTTCACAAGTATTCTGAAACTTTTAGAATATTAATTTAGTTGTTTTATTTTGATCTTAAACATTTAGCAATCCAAATGTTATCATAGATTTTACAGTATTAAAAACAGTATTGTCTTCTTTCATCTTTTCATAAAACATATCATCTCTTTCTTATAATCCTAAAATATGTTTTAAAATAGTTTTAACTCCAATTAAAATAGATTAAATTTCATGTTATGATGATCCTTATAAAAAATCAAATTAATTCATTTTCTAATCTGATTTTTATTATTCATATTATCTATTTGCAATATCTTTAATCATTTTAAAATAAGCAGTCAAAATTTATTGAACACAATCAGTTAATGTTTATTATCTCAAATGTTCAGCCAATAAAGGTATACATGTACTAATGAAATGAATATATTATGCTCTAACATACAGAACATGTGTATGCATTCCTCTTAAAAGAGTAGGAATGAAAATATTATTACTTACTGATCTACTCATAGTATCTTCTATTAATTCTCTTTATTCTGGTTAAAATTTAGTTCTAAAAGAAGAATTGAAAAAAATGACTTTAAACAAATTTAGAATTTACACTTACATTACTAGATCTTCATTTTCTATTGCATGATACAATACAATCTATAAGGGTTACATAATATATTCAGCAAATTTCAAAGAAACAATTGGATTTTCAACATTAACAATCAATAATTCAATGTATTCACATGCAGATGCATTAACAGCAGCATTCTCTTTGTAGAATTTTAAAGACATACTCTCAATAGCTTAACCTTGAACATATTTTAAACAAATAATGACTAATAAATCTAAATACATCATAGTATCTTTTTACATGATTACACTACTTTCACTTGTAAAATGCATTCTAATATCCTTTATATAAGATGAGATTTCAGTCTCTTATACATATTCCATAAATCTAGCACTAAATGATATAAGAATAGATTTTAATTTTTTTATGGTTTCATTAATTCTTTTAGTTTCATACACTTTTGCAAAGAATATTTATTGATTGTCAGTTAAATACCAAGATGAACTACTTTAAATTAGAACTTCAAATAATGGATCTAAAATTCTTTCTAACATTCCTGTTGATTCTAATAACCAATTTTTAGCATTATGTCTTATGATTGGATTTTCATGATCCAAAAAATCAAGCATTAAAAATAATCCTACTTTGTTTAGATCTTATAATTCTTTATAATGTGTTGCACTTAATTTCCAAAATAAAGCAAATCTTCTGATAGCTGCTTCTTGCATATTTTTAAATTAATGAATTACAACTTCTGTAAAAAATGTTGGGAATACTTTTGATAAATTAACAATCATCTCTATAATTCTTTCATGAAAAAAAGGGTAATCAAGAAGATTCCATAATTTCTCTAATGTAAGTTTTGTATAATCTTATCCTTCAATGATTTAATTCTTCAACATTTTAGTTCTACTTTCTTCAACAATTAATTTCTTTAAATTTTCATATATAATATCAACTTTCTCAGATATTAAAATTTCAATCATACTTTATATAGCTAATAAAGAAATTGATGGATTCTCTTCTTTTATAATTTTTGTTATTGAAGTAAACCATTTTGGTAATTGTGGAACTTCTTTGTTTTATTTAAATCTTAATCCCTTAATTAATGATTTACTAATTGATTCAAATTCTATTCTTATTTATTCATCTCCATCAAGAATTACATCAGCTAATTTTTAATATAACTATCCAAATTATTCTATGGCTTCATCATAATTTGAAATCTCTTATGGTCTTACTAATTGTTTATCCTATTATTAAGGTAATTATTCCATTCTGACTAACAATTTATTTAATGTTAAACCAGGAGATTATTTTCTTAATTCTTCAGGTGAAAAATTTGATAAACAAGTCATTAAATTAGCTGCAGCACTACGTAATAAGGTGAATTCTATAGACTTTTCGAAATTATCTTCTTTAGTGATTAGAATAGAAAATAAAAAGTTTATATATATGTTGTATTATTTGCTAACCTCATTAACAACAATCAACAAAAATGATGTAATTGATTCTAATAATCTTTTACAAGATTTTACTATTTCTGGATATTTTTTGTGATTAATTTCAACATATTTAATTAAATTAAATGAAACTTGTCCAATTAATAATTCAACCATATGATCATGTTCCATAAAAAAATTATACAATAATTTTATTGGAAATACAGCATTCTACTCATTGGCTTCTTATTATAAAAATTTATTAAATGAATCCACAACATATTAAAGTATATCTTTATTTTGTTCAGTTATTTAGTACTTATTATCCATATCTGGTTTACCAAATAACCATTAGTTTACTCTTCTTGTTACTGATAGATCTTTTCTTATTAACAACTTCAATGAAGCTTCAACCAAAATCTCTTTATTTTCTTTAATACCATTAGATTTCAAATGTGTATACATCATATCAAGTGCCTATCTCTTAATTAATTAACTATATAGAATTTTTAATAATACTTTTCATCATCCAAACAGGAAATTAATGCAGCCACATGAAGTGATGGAAAATTGTTTTCATATGTTTCATCATTGATACCATCTTCAATCATCATCAAAGCTTATTTTCGTTTCAATTCCATACTCTATTCTACTACAATAGTTCTCTTTCTTATTTCATTCTAAGCATTATTATCCATTATCTATTCTATAGAATCATCCTTAATGTCTTCTATATCTTGATTATTTTGAGTCACTTTCAATTAATTTTGTTATTATTCTTATGCAATTGATTATGATTTTTATTACTCTTCTTCTTCATATTCATCACTCATATAATCTGATTGTTCATCCTCTTATTCTTATTACATTTTAGGTATCTTTTGAGATAAGTATTTAATAGATGAACTATAATCATATTTACATTATATACCTTCTACATTTAGGACTTCTAAGCATTGACATCCATACTGATCCAATAAGGAATTTTCTACCTGCTGATTGACTCAATTCATCTAATACACTCATGCATTTTTTTTGATTAGTTTCTTATTGATCATCTAAGCCTGGCAATATACTAGCAACTAATCCTGGTAACATTGGTATTAATTCTCTTCCCAAAGGAACATAATGTTATTTAATGAGATCCAAAAATTATGGTCTTACTTTTGAAGAAGCATTAGAAAAAAAAGGAAGTAATCCAATTGAATATAGGGCAAGATCTTCTAAATACAATTTCACTACTCCTGATGGATCTCCCTCTACACTAAAGTTTGCCATATTTTTGAATAATTGATCATAGATCTTTAATACTGACATATGGATTGGTGCAGAAAGCTAATTAATCTTATAAATTCATACATGAGGATTAAGACATTATGCTAATCTCTTGCTTAATTGAATTTTTTCGATTATATATGGAGATGGATGTTATTTCAACAATCCTTCGATTTTCATCAATAAAGGAGCAATATCAGCCCATTCTTGGTTCTTTTCAAACTTATTTAGATAATATTATAGATTAGTATTCAAAGATGATGTATGCTAAACCAATTTTGATTTATCCATTAACTATTTAAATATATTATTGAAGTATAAGTATTAGACATATAAATTTATTTTTATGAAATCTATTTACCAATTCACCAAATTCAGATCCTCAACATACAATCAGTCCTTGTAGTACCTTGAATAAACCCAATTTGATCCAAACAATAAAACCGCTATTCTCATGTTAAATCTAGGAGGGTGATCTCTAACAATATAGGCTAGGCCCAATTCATTTTAAGAAATCAGTCCATTTTTGATTAGATTCTTTGAAGACACCAGTGTCATTAGAATACCTTTCGGTTTAGGTCCATATATAGCCAGATTGAGAGGTCCTGCCAAAATCAATAAGTAATATGAGAAGATTGGAGGTTTCTCTCCTCTATTCAAATGGACAATGGTATAAGGATTTTTAATGAGCAAACCATAAGGAAGTGGATTTCTACCAGCATTTCGATATGGGTTACCTCTATAAGAGGATGCTATTGAGTATGCTTTTGAGAAAACTGAAGGAAGAATATAAAAATTCTTACTTTTTTCTCAATATCCTCAATATTCTTGTTCAACAGGAGGAAATGCCATACGAAATGCAATTGAATTACTACAAAAATATAAAACAATTCAACCAAAATTGGAAGTATCAGTAATAGATTCATGGCATAAAAACAAATTTTATATTTCTGCAATGGCTAATCTTTTGATAAATAAAATTAAAGGTTAGAATTTAGATCCAAAAGATACTATTATTCTATTTACAGCACATTCTTTACCAGCTGATTTTGTATGGGATGGTGAAAAATATCCATATTATATTTATGAGTCTTGTTAATTAGTCATAGATCAATTAAAAAATATGGGAATATAAATTCATTTTGATTTATCCTATTAATCCAAAGTAGGTTTAAATAAATGGTTAAGACCAGCAACACATCATGCTCTAAATTAATACATAAAGAATAGCAAATTCAAAAATATTCTTATTTCTCCTATGGGATTTACAAGTGATCATTTAGAAACATTATATGAATTAGATATACAACTTATGGAAGACTTAAAAAAGGATATTGAATCTAATAAGAAAAATGTTATTAGATGTGATTCATTAAATGATCATCCATAATTCATTGCTGCATTAAGTGACTTAGTAATTTAAGGATTGGGAAATAAGAAATGTAGCAGTAATAGAGAAAGATGTATAGATTGTAAATTTGAGTAATGTGACATAGTCAATAAACATGAATTATGATAGTTATTTAATCATAAAGTTATTATATATATATATTTATATATTATTTTAATGAGTAATAATCAAGGTAGACAAGGAAATGACGACGACACATAAATGCAAAATTAGAAAGTTCCTACATAGAAAGATTGTTAATTTATTATTTCAAAATAAACTATGAAATTGAAAGATGTTTATGATGCCGAAACTAGATATATAGTTTATCCTTTAGGGCCTTATGAAGATTAGGATGTATAATGCTATGTTTTTAACATCTTTAATTAATATCTCAAGTAAAATCTATCATTTTGTGAGACTGATTAACCTTTGAAAGGTTATAAGTATAGATATTATGCGAAATTGCAGCCAGGAATAGATAATATTTTAGTTCCAAAAATTATTGAAAATATTTTATAGCCAATAAGGAAACACATCAACTAATTTACAGAAAAGGATAAGAATCTGGATAACCTTTATGATGAAACTATGGCTTTGATTAAATAATTGAATAAAATAAAAATTGACTGAATTATTATTGATGATTTTATCACATTTTTATTAAGTTAAATGTTTTATTATAGAAAAGAATCTTAAAAATCATCCTATATAGTAAAAAAATAGATTAAATCAAAATAACTTATGCGCTTAAATTTCCAATAATGGTTTTATTTCTGGTTATTGTTTTCTTATTAATTGACTGGATGAAGAATTATGTAAGGATTTCATAAAGAATTATGAGACTTTACTTTTATTTGGTACTCCTCTTATCTAAAGGATAAGTTTATATCAATTACTGATTAACTTTAAAGACACGTCTATAATTCCTCTTACCAATCCTTTCTTGATTATCTAAATTATTGACTAGTTTTGCTCAAATAAAGCGCATTGTTACTATTTAATTCTGGAAAAAGAGTCTTATGTTTATATGGCCTATAGAATCTTCTTTGATTAGCCCTTGAGCCAACTTTGCAAGTTTGTGGGATTTCGAATTTGTCTTATTTTAGTGGTAAATGATATGGGTTTCTTAAATATTCAAGAACATTGAATTTTCTCTTATTTTATTAATTCATTTAAAATATATTAATAAACTTCAATTCTTAAAATATTATTATCTATCCAAAAACTCTTATTTAACATCTTCAACATCATTCTAATAATGGAATACTATTTAATAAATTAATAAATATACTATGTGATTATATCTCTAAGTTAAAGGAATTATTGATCAATTTGAGTGAATTTGTTAAAGAATTTCATTCCATTTTCACCATCAATTACTGATTTATAAACTTATAATCCTTTTAAAAGATCAGCAATAGCTTCTTTGCCAATAGTCTAAATTTTACTATAATTTACTTTAAAAGTAAAATAAGGTTTATAATTCGATTCTGAATGTATAAATTAAACAAAAGAAGGATCTTTTTTTATGATTGATTATAGAATCAATCATAAGAAGCTAAAATATATATTATGACAATTTTGAATATTCAGCTGAATAATATTAAAGTCCTTTCGATATTCCCATAATGCTATCATCAAGCCAAGCAGCCTTTATAAATTTCTTTTTTATTTATTCGAGGTACTAGAATTTAAACTACATCATCATAGGTACTAAAATATAAAGCTACACTATCAGCTCTACCTTATTTATAAGCACCTGATAATTCTCCAAATTTAGCATGCAAATCTTCATTAGGATTATTAAAAGTTTTTAGATATTTCAAAATTCAATTTTCCATTTTATCTTCCATAAATTTAGTCCAATCAATTCATGAAATACAACTACCATTATACATTACCTAAGTTGACATTTTTTAATCCTAAATTTTATCTAACATCATCATATATTAGTATATTGATGCCAACTGTGTACCAAAACAAGCAAATAACAATATTTCTAATGATATTAAATCAGGTCTACTAAACTTTTCAATTTAAAATTCTTTAAGCCAATGTAAACCTTTAATTATATTCTCTGCTTTCTCAACTAAATTTACAAGTAATTTTGATTCTTCTTATTTAAAAATTGATACAAATCCTTCATATTCTGTTTTCACTTTCATTGGATCTAAATATGTTTCTATAAAACCAATATTTGTTTCAATAATTGGTCCCTTATCTTATATCCATAATTTCTAACTTTCCTTATGTTATTCAATAATTAGTTTAAGTTTAATTAGAAACATACTTTTAGATACTTATGTTAATAATTATTAAACCTAGTTTTCTGAATTAATTTTATAATAATATATCTCCTACTTCTGTTGATTCCTTTTAAAATATCTTTTACAACAAATAAAAATAATCCTAGTGCTTCTTATGACCTTTAAAATTAAAAATTTTAGCATCTGCCCAAAATGCCCTAGAGAAATAGTATGCATAATGTTTGCTTTTCTCATCTGATTAAACTCTGGAGATTCAATTGCAGATAACTTAGCCTCTTATGAAATTATAGGTGCTTTTTATTAATCCATAATTATTTTTATATTAATGTTCAATTGTCTCAACTATTGATATTCCAATTCTACAATTGATATTAGCCTGAAAATTCCCTTTTTTAAATAAATAAACAATTTAAATATCTACTTAATAAAAATTCCATTTTCTCTTTAAATGCTGAATTAAGATGAAAAGATTATATTATTAAACAAATTACAAAATATTAAATATAAGCCAATATTACTACTTACAACCTACTCATATTAAACTTTTTCTAATCTTGCTTAGATTGGTTCTAATTGATGGTTAAAATCGATTAGATTTGAAATTTGTTCCCGTAGCGAATTGTACTTTCTTTTATTCAGAAAAGGAGTTGAAACTTCTAGTAAGAGGAGACTTGAGAATACTTCTCTGTGAATATTCTTCATTAATTTATTATTAGTAATTTCTTTAAAGATAAAACGATAAATCTAAATTTTAAATGTGGATAAGATCTTTCTAAATCTTGGCTTTTTTTTTTATTCTTCTAGTTTCACTCTTTACAGTTAAAGGGCTATCAGTGATTTGTGATTTTCGTAATGAATATTAACATTCTTCTTAAAAATTAAAATATTTCACTCTTCCCCTACTAATGTTAATATAATGTATTGGATCATCAGCATCATGTATTTCTGATTCAGATAACTTTTAATTTATCTGATTTGTATAAGTAATACTCATTTTTAACGATGAAAACTTTGTGCTTTTGCTCATCTCATTTAAAGTTTTCATCTTTGAATCCAGACTATAGATATCTGATTCAGCATTCTCAATTATTCTGTAATTAGTGCATATTTATCCCATTTTATAAATAATTTAATCATAAAAATCAATTTAATTGACAGACTTATCTACTTTAGAAAATTAACCTAATTCTTCTTTAATAATTGTTAAAACTAAAAACACTAAATTACTATATGTATCAAGTTATATATAATAGTTTGTTATAAGAATTTTCTTTGAATTATAAATTTGCAAAACAAATACCAAAACAATTATCAGCCTAATTTTTTTATATAAAATAAATAGGACTATTTTTTCTATTATAAATATAGAATATTAATTAATAATATACTATGTCCTTATTATTTAATATCAGGGTTTCAATTATTTTCTCTCTTTATCCTATTAATCTTCACTATCTTTTCAAAAAATTTTTTAGGAGCCTTCTATTTTTTTATCTTTTTTTTCTGATGTTTTTCATTAATTTTTATTGGCTGACAGGTTTCTAATTAATTAAATAGTTTATTACCTTTAATTTCATCTAAATCATATGAAATTATACGTTTATATTTGTCTTCTGAGTCTATCATTTCTTTAGCTTCTAATCCCTTAATATAATCTAAATCTTTTTCTAAATTCTATAGTAAATTTATTATTCCCTCTAATTAAATATTTTACACTTGAATTTCTTGGCCTTCTCTTGCTTTTTTCTTGTGCTTGAGATCGTTGAAGTTTACCATATTTATTAATCAAATTTGTTTTAAAAAATTAATAGTATCTCTTTTGAAAGAACTAAATTTTTAAAAGACAATAAAAATTAAGTAGCACATTGATAATTCTTGATTAGTTTTGTAGATTTGGATATTATTAACAAAACTAATTATTCACAGCTTATTTAATTTATAATTTAATTGAATCATTACTATTTCTATTAAGTATATGATAAAATTATATATATATTTTGTATTCAAAATTTCATATTAACTATCTATGAATGAAGGTAAAGATAGTTCTATCATTATCTAGCATCTATTTATGCGATAGATTATTTAAATTTTATTTTTTAAATTCAAATTAGTTATAAGAGATGAAATATTTACATTTATTTTAAAAGTATTGAAATTAAGCTCCTAAAAATTATCATAAGTATGTAGATGTAAATGAATTCAAAAAAAATGAAGAGTATTATAATATTATATTCTTTAGTAATTATTAATAAATTCAATAATTTTTAAATAATGTCTTCAGTTTAGCAATTTTGTGAAGATCTTTCTAATATAGATTTGAAAGATCCAAATGCAAAAGAGATGATGATGAAAAAAATAACATAGTATGATTAAAAGTAATTATCATANTTTTGCTCATCTCATTTAAAGTTTTCATCTTTGAATCCAGACTATAGATATCTGATTCAGCATTCTCAATTATTCTGTAATTAGTGCATATTTATCCCATTTTATAAATAATTTAATCATAAAAATCAATTTAATTGACAGACTTATCTACTTTAGAAAATTAACCTAATTCTTCTTTAATAATTGTTAAAACTAAAAACACTAAATTACTATATGTATCAAGTTATATATAATAGTTTGTTATAAGAATTTTCTTTGAATTATAAATTTGCAAAACAAATACCAAAACAATTATCAGCCTAATTTTTTTATATAAAATAAATAGGACTATTTTTTCTATTATAAATATAGAATATTAATTAATAATATACTATGTCCTTATTATTTAATATCAGGGTTTCAATTATTTTCTCTCTTTATCCTATTAATCTTCACTATCTTTTCAAAAAATTTTTTAGGAGCCTTCTATTTTTTTATCTTTTTTTTCTGATGTTTTTCATTAATTTTTATTGGCTGACAGGTTTCTAATTAATTAAATAGTTTATTACCTTTAATTTCATCTAAATCATATGAAATTATACGTTTATATTTGTCTTCTGAGTCTATCATTTCTTTAGCTTCTAATCCCTTAATATAATCTAAATCTTTTTCTAAATTCTATAGTAAATTTATTATTCCCTCTAATTAAATATTTTACACTTGAATTTCTTGGCCTTCTCTTGCTTTTTTCTTGTGCTTGAGATCGTTGAAGTTTACCATATTTATTAATCAAATTTGTTTTAAAAAATTAATAGTATCTCTTTTGAAAGAACTAAATTTTTAAAAGACAATAAAAATTAAGTAGCACATTGATAATTCTTGATTAGTTTTGTAGATTTGGATATTATTAACAAAACTAATTATTCACAGCTTATTTAATTTATAATTTAATTGAATCATTACTATTTCTATTAAGTATATGATAAAATTATATATATATTTTGTATTCAAAATTTCATATTAACTATCTATGAATGAAGGTAAAGATAGTTCTATCATTATCTAGCATCTATTTATGCGATAGATTATTTAAATTTTATTTTTTAAATTCAAATTAGTTATAAGAGATGAAATATTTACATTTATTTTAAAAGTATTGAAATTAAGCTCCTAAAAATTATCATAAGTATGTAGATGTAAATGAATTCAAAAAAAATGAAGAGTATTATAATATTATATTCTTTAGTAATTATTAATAAATTCAATAATTTTTAAATAATGTCTTCAGTTTAGCAATTTTGTGAAGATCTTTCTAATATAGATTTGAAAGATCCAAATGCAAAAGAGATGATGATGAAAAAAATAACATAGTATGATTAAAAGTAATTATCATAATAAAAATTAGTTTTGCTTAAATCAATTTTCATCCAACTCCATCATAATTATCATAAAATTATAAGAGAGATATTTCAAAGATCTAATTACCATAAAATGGATCAGAAATGGAAAAACAATTAAAAACATAATTTATAGCAGATGGATCCATTTTTGGAGAATATTAATCAATATTAAGATAAGCACATGTTCCTGCTTTTGTTGTACCTCCACCTCCTCCTCCAAAACCAGAAGAATAAGCAGCATAAATATTTTTACGATTACCATACAATTATCTAGATTAAAATGCTAATACAAAAAATGAATCTAACTTCATATAACAACCCTAAAATTAATAACTAAGTTAAATTTCAAATTTTTTATCTACTATTTAAAATCAAAATTAACCTAATTAAAATCAAAATTAATAACATCAAATGTAAAATCCATCAGCAATTTAAGCAAATATTTTGAATAATCAATAATAAATGGACTTATAAATGTAAATTAATTAAACACCTAATGGTTTAGATAGTGATTTTATAACCAATATAAAAAAAACAGTTAATATATTAGGTGGAATAGAAGACACAGTTTAAAGTATATATTAATGAACATATAAAGTCATGAAATAATCTTTATAAGATTATGAATTACAACATTAGATTGAGAGAAAGATAGAAAAATAACCAATCTTTAAAAACTCAACTTTGATGAATCCATAAAAGAATACTTAATCATAAATTAATCAATAATAATATCATCCTTTTGAAAGATATATGGCAACAGAACCATTATAAATAGTATAATAATCATAAAAGTTAAGGGAATCAAAATTATAGCAAAACACCCATAAATGATGTATGATTTATTTTGAAAATTGTTATTTTATTTTGAGTATAATTATTAAACTTAATTAATTATCTCATATATATATACATATTTAAAATTGTAGACTCTTAAATATTCTTGAAATGGCTTTAATAACATATTATAATCTTATTGTTATTAAATCATTTAAGTGATTATATCAAATTAACAAAATAAATCTATCTATTTTGAATAGTTTCAAAATAAATAAAAAATGTAATGTTTTATTTCTTCTGAAGATTCTTAATTGTTTTTCAATAACTATCTTGTAAATCATATATTTTTAAGTATTCAACTTATTTATTATATTTTGATAAATCAGAATCATTATGATTCAATTTTTATAACAATGAGATGAAATTTATTTGATTATGTATTTTTTGAAGAGAAGAGTTCTTATAATTTAGAGATGATTTTATTAAATTGCATGTAATCCTTCTATTCCATTATTATAAATGATATGATAACCATATCATATGACTATTTATTACATTCTCATTAAATTGATTAACTATAACATGATCATATGATTGTCTATCTGTAAATTGATTAATATGAGATGTATAAACATATATCATAAAATTTCTTTAATCAGTAATCTTTTCATATTTACAAAAATTTAATCGATCTCTTAGACTATTATACAATTCAAGTGAATTCTAACTTAATCCTATTTTAATTAATGTTGCTGGATCAATACTTACAAAATCCTATATTGATTTACCATTTTGAATAGCTGATGACAATAATACTTTTTTTCTTAAATGTTTTATATTTTAGAATATATTAAAATCTTTAATTTTCATTTTTCAAATTATGGCTGAATAAACCCAAGACAAACAATTCAAAGGAGTTAAGAAGTTTACTTATAGAGGTCTCTAACTTGAAGAGCTTGTTAAACTCCCTATGGATAAATTGGTTGAATAATTTAGAGCTAGATAGAGAAGAAGAATCTCAAATCAAGGAGAAAAAGTACATGNTGTAAAATCCATCAGCAATTTAAGCAAATATTTTGAATAATCAATAATAAATGGACTTATAAATGTAAATTAATTAAACACCTAATGGTTTAGATAGTGATTTTATAACCAATATAAAAAAAACAGTTAATATATTAGGTGGAATAGAAGACACAGTTTAAAGTATATATTAATGAACATATAAAGTCATGAAATAATCTTTATAAGATTATGAATTACAACATTAGATTGAGAGAAAGATAGAAAAATAACCAATCTTTAAAAACTCAACTTTGATGAATCCATAAAAGAATACTTAATCATAAATTAATCAATAATAATATCATCCTTTTGAAAGATATATGGCAACAGAACCATTATAAATAGTATAATAATCATAAAAGTTAAGGGAATCAAAATTATAGCAAAACACCCATAAATGATGTATGATTTATTTTGAAAATTGTTATTTTATTTTGAGTATAATTATTAAACTTAATTAATTATCTCATATATATAGACTCTTAAATATTCTTGAAATGGCTTTAATAACATATTATAATCTTATTGTTATTAAATCATTTAAGTGATTATATCAAATTAACAAAATAAATCTATCTATTTTGAATAGTTTCAAAATAAATAAAAAATGTAATGTTTTATTTCTTCTGAAGATTCTTAATTGTTTTTCAATAACTATCTTGTAAATCATATATTTTTAAGTATTCAACTTATTTATTATATTTTGATAAATCAGAATCATTATGATTCAATTTTTATAACAATGAGATGAAATTTATTTGATTATGTATTTTTTGAAGAGAAGAGTTCTTATAATTTAGAGATGATTTTATTAAATTGCATGTAATCCTTCTATTCCATTATTATAAATGATATGATAACCATATCATATGACTATTTATTACATTCTCATTAAATTGATTAACTATAACATGATCATATGATTGTCTATCTGTAAATTGATTAATATGAGATGTATAAACATATATCATAAAATTTCTTTAATCAGTAATCTTTTCATATTTACAAAAATTTAATCGATCTCTTAGACTATTATACAATTCAAGTGAATTCTAACTTAATCCTATTTTAATTAATGTTGCTGGATCAATACTTACAAAATCCTATATTGATTTACCATTTTGAATAGCTGATGACAATAATACTTTTTTTCTTAAATGTTTTATATTTTAGAATATATTAAAATCTTTAATTTTCATTTTTCAAATTATGGCTGAATAAACCCAAGACAAACAATTCAAAGGAGTTAAGAAGTTTACTTATAGAGGTCTCTAACTTGAAGAGCTTGTTAAACTCCCTATGGATAAATTGGTTGAATAATTTAGAGCTAGATAGAGAAGAAGAATCTCAAATCAAGGAGAAAAAGTACATGCTTTTTAAAACTTGATGAAGAAGGTAAATAATAAAATAAATATATATAGATCAGAAAGTCCAAGAAAGAAACATTGCCAGGAGAAAAGCCAAAGCCAGTGAAGACTCATTAAAGAAACACAATTGTTGTACCTGAGATGGTTGGTTCAATTGTTGGAGTCTACAACGGAAGATAATTCAGTAATGTTGAAATCAAATTTGATATGATTGGCAGGTATTTGTTTGTAATAGCATATATAATAGATATTTGGGTGAATTCTCATTAACATATAAGCCAACAAGACATGGTAAGCCAGGAGTTGGTGCAACAAAAGGATCATAACACACAGATTGATGTTATGAATTTAAAAGTACATTAAGTTAATTCTACAAATTATAAATTATTATGCTTGCAATTACAATTCAATATTATTATGTAAAGCAAACAAATTATAAACTTGTTATCATTCTTATTTTCTTTATATTTGTTTAATTTCTTATTATTACTCTTTTATTTATTTCTTAATTTATAATAATGATATTCTATTCAGATATTAGTAAATATTATTTTACAATTTTATAATAATCAATTATGGATATCGAAAGGTTAAAAATTCCTGATTGATTCAACTTAAGAAAAGGATTGGTGATGGTTACCTTAATTAGCCAAAGGGCCATTCTTCATTACGATTTCATCCATTCTATAACTCCATTAAAGCATATCTAATTATCTTTGACTTTTATGTTAAATTTTAATATTATTGATATCGAATGGGCTTTTGCAATCAGGACAATACTAATAAATATTTGATAATATTACCTAATGATTATTCAACCATTTATCTATACATGGAGTATGAAATAGATGTTCACAAAATATTAATCTAATTTAAGTTCCATCATTATATTTATCTAAACAAATAGAGCATTTATCATATGCCAAATACTTATTTTATCTTGTAATCAAGGCTCCATATTCTTGAGATGGAAATAATCTATTTATCAAAGGGATAATGGTATTTTCATCCTATTTTGCAGGTTCTAAATTCATCCTTTTTGGAACTCTTGCTGTTTTTTTAAATTTTGATCTCATAATACAAACAATTATTAAAAGGAATAATGTAGCTATGATTGTAGTTAATATAATAATTAATTAATAAGCATCTGCAGCATCATTGTTTTAACTTAAATAGGTGATTTCTAAATTATCAAAAAAAATTAAATAATAGAAATTAACAGTTTAATTAAATTATTTTTAGAATTATTCAATTTTATTTTAACAGGATGCTATATCACTTTATGTAATGTTCAAAATGCTATTTATATTTATTTAAACTAAATTTGGATTCATGTTATCAATGATACAATAAGTTATATATTTTGTATTATCCTAAAATCTTAATACATAATCTATATTATTAAATTGTCTTATATCTAAATAGTACATTTTATATCCCTAAAACATATTTTGAGTTTAGATATCATCTAAAAGTAAATGACAATCATTTCCAAGTTATTACTCTCTACAAATACAGAATGAATTTCGACATTCAGAATCATGCTTACAATCACTAAATTTATATACAATAGTACTAGAAACATTCCTCATTTGTTTAATAAGAAAATGATATTGTAATATCAGTTTCTAAAACTGATTATATACCAATAATACTCGATTCATTATATTCATACAAATTCAAATAGGATGAAATTAGACTCTTTTAATTTAGTTTGCCAAATATTAATTATTAAGAAGACATCATCTGATATGAGAACCAATCTACAAAGCAACTTTATTATCATTAATTCTTAACCTTGAATTTGATAATAATTGCTGAAAAGTATATTCAGTCGGTTATATGTAACAAATAAAAAGGAGAGGTTGATCCTCTTTCTTCTCTTTCTTAAAAAACTCTAATGCTATTCTAACCTAGGATTTCATTTCAAATGGAATAATCTTGATTCCCTTTAATGAACTATATTGTTAAACTTGGCATGCACATATTCCAAATACAATAATGATCAAGCATTATTTCATATTTATATTAAATATCTATTCAGTTTAGCTAACCAAATCTCATTTTAAACAAAAATTAAAAAAATGTATACATTTTGTTTATTTCATGACGGCTTATTAGAAAATTGATTAAAATACCTCAAATAAGATATAATAAACTTCAACTAAAAATATTTTTAACTTAAATCAGAGGGAGATAAAAATATACAATTTTAGAGAATTTTAAGAAATTTTAGATCGAAAAATGATATTTATTCTATCCATTATTGTAAATTTGAATAATACTCTTAAGATAACTATTACAATCTATTATATGGAATGATACTTAATAAATTGAAATATATTCCATTATTTTACTTAATTTATGTTACTATTAAAATATTCTAATTATAAAACAATTAATCAAATGTATTGCATTTGTAAAAAAAAAGTATCCTTAGAATAAAATGAAATATTTAAATTTATATGAAAAATATGTATTGGATATAATAGATTATTTATGTAAATTGATTTTAATTATTATCATAAAAAAAAATGAAAAACTCAATAATGGAAAAGAGCTCTGAGATAGTATTCAATAAATAGTTATTAATTCAAAAAATATAAATAACAAATTGAACTTTGTAAAGATCCATATTTTGCTTTCAGATTTATTCTTATTTTTTATCTTAATTTTAATAAAATGAATAAAAATGATAATCCACATTATATATTATTTATGAAATATATGATTTCCATTATTATTCTAAAATTTACTTAATTCATATTTAATCTATCTTAAGAAACAAAATATTATAATATAATAAATATAAATTTAATAAATAAATGCTATTTATTGCATTTAATTAATTATTAAAGAAAAAGATGATTACAGTAATTTCAGTGTTATAAAGTTGAAAATGATATTAGAATATTTGAAAAACATTATATAAAAACTATTCTAAATATAAAATATTATTATTGTATTTAATTTTAGGAACTCAAAAAAATTTAATAAATACTTTTTTCATTAATGAAAAATTAGGATGAGAAAAAGCATTAATTAGATAGAATTGGCACAGCCAGTACTATGGCTTAAACTGGACAATAATCTCATTTTTAATAATAATTCTAATGTGAATTTACTTAAACCACTTTTGGTAAAATGAAAAAAGAACAAAACTATAAGATCAATAATAGATATTAAAAATAAGATAATAATGATGAGCCTGTTGATTAAGATTAGTAAATAAGTGATAATTAGAACTAATAGGAAATATAATAATTTTAATAAAAAGAGTTGTAAACAAAACAAAAAAAAACAAAGGAAGATGAATACTAGAAATTAATTAAATTTAATGAAGATCAATATAATGATTGTAATCAATATTCAGAACCCGATTAAAATTAGGAATCACCTGTTATGAAACCTAAGAAAATTTAAGGTGATCACCTTTATATCACTTGGTATGATATATTTGAATTTTAGTTAGATAAAGCCTTTTGGTGAATTTTTATTAAAGTATCATTTACAAGATATTGCTCATCCTTATATTAAAAAGAGGACAACAACAAAATGCTGTTTTTTTGCTGTGAATACTAAATAATCTCTCTATTAGACATAAAAATAAAATCTTATTAAAGTAGGCTAAATGTTATATGATGATACTAATGAAGATCATTGCAACTTACTATATTCAATTTTCTATTTATTATTTTAATTAGAAAAACTATCAAAACGAAAATCTTAAGAGATCTCTAAGAATAAAATTAACTTATTCTAATTATTATATACTTTATCTTGTGTTACATCATTTAGAGATGATTTATATTAAATTGGAAAATTTGATAAAGAAAAAATAGTCTCTATTTTGTTTTTTTGTTCTAAATACATTTTTGAACTCTTATAATATGGAAGTTTGGATCCAATTTTTAAAAATACTGAAAGTAATGGGGAAACATTCCATAATCTTATGACTTGTATTCATATGGGAGTATTTCTATATACTTCTAATTCTAATTTTACATATGAATAGGAAATCTATTAAAATTTATAAAATAAAAATGTAAAACAGCTTTTAGATATTTGGAAAGAAAATAAATTTAAAAATAATTGAAAACATTTGATTAAATCAATTTTGATTTTATAAATTAATTAAAAAGTTGTTCTAAAGCTAACAATCTTTTTTTGAGAATATATATACAATTTCTAATTATAAGTTTATTAAAATAACTCTATATATTTGAGAAACAACTAATATAAAATTTAATATAATATATATAAAAAGATTATTATATAAAAAAAAAAGTTTATATCCAATTTTATTTGTTTTTAAAGATACGTTCATTATTAAAATTAATTCATGGATAATTTAAAGAAAGCATAAAAACTTATGTAAGTTTAGCTGGTATACTTAGAAAATTTGGATAAATAACAAAAGACGACATTGTAATTGGCAAAGATGAAGTTGATAGAAAATTTTTGACTCCATGCGGTCCTGTTTATACAGAGTATCACGACTGTTTGAAATAAAATTATGGAGACGTTCTCATTTGTATAACAGCATTTAATTAAATTAGGTGATAAATTTAGAGAGAAGATGATTGAATGTGAAGTAAGTCAAGGATTTTTCAAATATGATGTTTCTGAAATAAGAAGAAGAAGATAAAAACTCCATGGTAGTGAAGCTTGATTTATTAATAATTATAGAAGAATTATAGCTCATTATTATTAGTATTTATAAATATATATATATATAGTTTTTTATTATATTAATTTTTATAATAAAATTTAAGATCATTTTAACATAATAAATATATTAGTGGATACTTAATAGAGTGTTTTATGTATATTAGAATATAATGAAATATGAATGGTGATTAAAAATGAAGAATTCTAAAAATAAATATAATAAATTAATTAATTCTTAATCAAAATTTATAATTAATATATTTTATCAATCAGATAGAAACCAATTGTTGATCAATAATGCATAATTCAAAATAATTCAATTTTTATTTACGTATATATCATATTGATATTGTAAAAATCTTTAAAAAATCAATGAAGTATGAAATGGGTTGGTTTTTTTTCCATAATTACTTTATTTTATTTAAAATGAGCGATGGAGTTGGTTTCTTCTTTGATTTTTATTAAGACATTTAGTCCTTTAATTGTTAATTTGAATTGAACTAAAACTAGATATAAGAACAAAATTTTGACTATTAGTTTTGTTATGATCTTTCGGATGAAATGATGTAATATAGTAAGAAATATAAAAATTAGTGAATTTTAACATTAGAACTTCTTATTTGAGAAATAATAACAGGAAGTACAATTATCATTCTCTAAGAATTTATAAGAATTATAAAGTTGTGATATGTTAAGTGAAGAGGAGATAAGTAAATAAAAATATCAAAATTTTGAGTAATTAAATTAATCAAGAAGTAGAAGTAGAGAGATTGAAAAAAAAGTATTCATTAATATATGAAAGAATATAGGAAGGGAAATTAAAGAAATGGACATAATAGGAAAGTGATCTATTGAAAAACTATTATAATTAATTTAATGGAAATTGGGATAGAATTGTTGAATAAATGAGAGGAAGAACCATAACTTAATGTAAGCAATATTGGCATAGAAAAAATAAAAATGAAGATTAAAAAAAGAGTAAATGGACAATAGAAGAGGATTAAATAATCAAAGATAATATCAATTAGTATGAAAATAATTGGGCAACTATTGCAAAAAGTAATTGTTGTTCTTAAATTATTAGTATTAAAAAGTAAAACAGGAAAATAAATAAGAGAGAGATATATCAATAAATTAAGAGCAGATATAATAGATTCTAAGAAATAGCCTTGGACACCATAAGAAGATACAAAACTTATAAATTTATTTCAATAATTTGGATCAAAATGGTCTATTATAGCAAGATCATTTTATGGAAGATCAGTAAATTTTTATATAGATTTAGGATTTGCAAGTAAGAAATAGAACAAAGAAATTATTAAAAGATGATATAAATTAAAATACAAAGTCTTCATAAAATTAGCAATTAAGAATATAAGTTTAATTAGAAGATGACATAGATGCATTTTAAGATATTGGTTAGACTTGTGAAAAACCTCAAAATAAAACTAAATTTAATTTTGATTAGTTCAATTCTTCAACATTCTCATTCAATTAAACTAAACTAGATTGAATTTAACTATTTATATAGTTTCTTTATTTGTAATAATTTAATTTAAAAATTAATTTCTTATTAAACATTGAGAACTCAATTATATAGTTTCTAAAATATTTAGTAATTTTAAAACATCAATCATAATTCTAAATTTTAATAATTATTAATTAAATTTATATTGTAATCATATTATATAATTAAAAATATGCATCCTTTATTGATTAGGTTACAGAATTGGTCACAATAAGAAATCTCTATATAAATAGTTGTAAATACTTATAAAGTAAACTATAGAATGAAAATAAATAATTAAGATTATTAATAATGATATAAATGTTTATTAGATCTTGAAGAAACCATTTAAAATATTTAAACAATAATAAATTCTATAAAAGAACTAATCAAAAGAGAGAGTAATATTCTGTTGATAATCACTTCGTTTTGTTGAAATCTTTGTGTAATAATAATATGCTATTTTTAAAATAAGTAATATAAGATTAGTAAATATATTATAGTTGAGAAAGAATATAATATATTAAGGATATACAAAAAGGTGTAAAGTGAATTAAGAAGATTATAAGACTTTAATTATATAAGACCTATTGGAATAATTACCAAAAATATTGTTATGATTATTAAAAGGATCTTCAATATTAATACATTATTGATGTGATAGATAACAAGATTGCAAATTTTGAATCTAAAATTATATGATAATAATAGATTAGTGAGTATAATTGATGTGAAGATTTTAATGAGAGATGAGATTTTTAATGTATTTTGTTCATGAGTCATCTAATGAATTAATACAAAATAATTTTTATATATGTAAAGAAAAAATATTTCTTTATAATTAAATCCAAATGAAGTTTATTAATTACCACTAAGGAAATTGTCTTTATTGGAACTACTTTAAAATAAATTGATTAAAAATAAATAACTTAGATCTATTGAATAAGATCAATCAGAATAAATAATTACAAAGAAATAATTAAAAGCTCCATTAAGAAATAAAAGTTGCGAATGTTCGTGTTGTGGATTATGGTAAATAAAATTAATAGACAAAGAATAAATAAATCAAATTAATCAGTAAGTAGAGATAAAGAGAAAAAAGAGATTAAGAAAAATATTTGTAAATAGTGTAAAAATGATCATTTAAGTTAATCGTTTTTCTTAATGTGGATTAGAATACTTTGTAAATAGATTAAAAAGGAAAATGTAAAGAGTTAAATCATTACATAAAATTGAAAATAAGTAAATCTTATTCATTAAATGTAATACTTATTTTATCTTAGCTCATTATCATATTGATTTGGGAAATATGATAATTGATCAATCTCCTTAAAATAATACTAATGAAACTTAGAAAACAAAATAAAAATCAAAGAAAATTCATTTAAGATTAAATAAAAGAATAGAAAATAAATGGTAGAATAATAAATAAAGTGATCATTTTGATTTATCAAAGTACACTATTAGAAGTAGATCAAATAATACCATTAATTAATATATCTAATAAAAATTGACTCATATTAATTACTTACCTCCAATATCTCTACCTTAAACAGCTAGATCTAATATAAGTGAGAATAAATAATTAGGTTAATTATCACCTTATAGTCGATTCTCTTAACCAATAAGATTTATTGCGAGATCAGTTTCAACAAATAAAAGAAGATAATGAAAAATATGAGAATTATTGTAATTATTTTTAATATATATTTATTATCTATTAGAGACAGTATAGTTCTATTTGAAACTATTAAATAATCTATAAGATGTAGTATGATCTTATCATAAATATTATATATATTTAAGTTATATAAATAAAATTATTAAATGAAGTTTCAGAAATTGGAAGACGATTAGACATTAAAAGATCAATAGAATCTTAAATAAAAAAAAGAATTATTAAAATAAGAATTTGAACATTTAGAGGAAATAAAAAAATATGATAATTTATCAATTGTTTCAAGCAATGATTTTAAGTTTAAAGCAGAATTGGATAAACTATTAGAAATGAATAGAAGTAAGAATAAGGAATTAAGTTTATTATTGAAACCTTAAACCTTTCAACCATCTTAATCTTAAATGACAGGTTCTTAAATATAAACCATTTCTGGAACTTATGGTTAAATTAGATCAATTAATAATCATCATTCAGACCCATTATTTGCAACATTTACTTAAAGCATATATACTAAAGATACTGATAGTAATGAATAATATATAGAGTAATTAAAAGTTTAAGAAGAACGATATAACGATTTAATTTTAGAAGAATCTGAAAAAAGAGATTCTTTAGAGTAATAATTAATTCAAATAGAAAAATCTAAACTTATATTACAATAAAAAGTAGAATAATATTAAATGTTAACAAGAATGTCTAATAAAAGATTTGCTAATACTTAATCTTTATAATTTTTAGCAGAATAAAAAAAAGAAACTAGTAAAGTTAATTTGAGATCAATTAAAGATGAATTTGAATAAATGAAAAAGATGCAAGATACATATAAAAAATAATAAGAAGAAAAATAATCAAATTTATAAAAAGTCATTTATGTTGGTGAAGAGAATATTGGACATAATGCTATTAAAATTGAACATGCCTTATAAATGAATGATGAATGCATTAGATAAATAGAAAAATTAGAAATTGAAAAATAAAAAAAAATTGAAAAAAAATTAGAAAGTCGTTATATTTTAACATATATTGAATGTTTTGAAAATTTTGAAAGGATTTTTATGGAACGTACAGGAATATAAAATGCATATAGATTAGTAGATGAATTCTAAGTAAATGAAGATTAATTACGTAAATATTCATAATAATAAATTTAATTTGATTAATCAGCTAATGTATAAAGTGAAGAAGATTTTGATCGTAATGAATTATTATCATAAATAACTAAATTTTATGAATAAGGGGAAAATAGAACAAAATATATTTTAAATTTTATGTTAGAATAATATTGGCATCTATAATCAACATTAAATAAAAGTAGTTTAGAATATGAAAATTTATTAAAATAAAAAAAAGTATTATTGGATGCTATTGAAAATTTAGAATGGGAAATAAATGAATTAAAATAGAAGAATCCAAATTTGGAAGTTCATGAATATTCATCTGTTGCTGAAGATGCTGGATTATTATACGTCAAAGAATAAATGACTACATTAAATATAAAGAAAATGGAAATGGAAGATCATACAGATAATGTTTTATATTAAAAAGCAGCAAAAGCATAGGGATTACTTATGAAATTCTAATTAGGATTAGCAGAATTTATGCATAGAGTATTTTAAATAATCTCACTTATTGATAATAAAAATAAAGAAATTAAAAAATTTAAATATACAGGATTATCAAGTGAAATATTGAATTATGAAAAATATTTAGCAAAAGTATATCATTCAAATGAAAAGAAATTTTAGATCACTAACAATTCAGAATAATTGGATGTTTAACCATTACATTTAAATTTATTTTAAATTTCTAATATTATTTCATAAGTATTAAACATAAATTAAAATATTGTTGAAGAAATTAGTACCTACTTCTTTATATAATGTAAGACAGATTAAGTTTTATGGTTTCATTTGACTTAAGATAATTTCACTTAATTTATAAATTAATATAAATCTTTAGATCCTGTTTTAATCTTAAAAGAATTATAATCTCCACATATGATTAATTAATTTAGAGAATAATTAGTTGATATTTTTACTAGCAATTTTAAGGAATTATTCACTTTTTTTACAAATATGTATAGTAAAGTTAAAGATATAGCTGAAGATTTATTAATTCATTTAAAAGAAAATAATCCTAAATTTGACTTTAATAAATTAAATAGGAATCTAACTAAAGAAGGATAAGATATTAAATAAGCAAAAGATTTAATAATAAAAAGAATGATCAAATATAAGACTGGAGATAATTTAACATTAAGATAAGAGAGTTCATTGTAAGCTCTTAAGAATTCTAAAACTAAAATGGAAGATGATTAAGTTATTGAATAAGTTTAAACTAAATTACAATAAGATTATTAAAATTCTAAAGACTTATTCCCTTTAAAAGAAGATTTTGATGAATCATAATTAACTTAAATTAAAAGCTTCTTTAGATAAAAAATTAAAGAAAAAAATGAAGAAAAGAAAGAATGTAAAACTGATCAAAATTCAACAAAAGATTAAATTACAATTAAAGATTAATAAGACTTTTAATAGAAAAAAAAAATATAAGAAAAAAATGAAAATAAATATGAAAAAGGAAGAAATAAAAAGAATTAGGAAGTTAAACCTTAAAATTAAATTATTAGAGATGAATTAGAATAAGAAAGAGAATTACTAAAAGCTTAGATTGCTTCAAATGTTTAGAGAATGCAAGAAGAAAAAGAAAGGAAAGAAAAGCCAGAATTTAAAGAATAATAAAATGAAAGAAAAACATAAATAAAAGAATCAACTGAAAGACTTTATGGTGAAAGAGGATATACAGTATAATTGATTAGAAATATGGCTTTGACATCAAATATTTTAAGTGATATTGATTAATTAGAGCATTTTCAAACAAAAATTGAATAACCATAATTAGTAAGTACTTTTGTTATGTAAAGGAAAAATCTACATAAGAATTTAACTAAAGATTTAACATTACCATAATTATCTTACTTAAAACCAACAAGTGCATATATTGCAAGAAGGAATTAATCATCTGAATAGATTAAAGCTATGGATTATAAAAGGTATTATGAAATAGAAAATGGAGTAAGCATAAGACCATAAACATAATAATTAGCAAGAAAATCTATTTCAAAATAAAAAAATAATACTTTTAATACTGAAGAATATAAGAAAAAATACTCAGTTAAAAATTTAAAGAATTATAATAGTGATATCAAATCAAATTAATATCCATAACCTATAGCAGAATTTCCTACAAATAATGGTCCTTAATCATGTTTAATTCCTTAAATGAATTGATTTCATAATAATTTACACATATATTATAAATAATTTATCAGTTAAAATTTATATGATTTTGTCGAATAAGAGAAAATAAGAGCTTTTTCGACTAGATTCCATGCTTGATAAGCTTAATGAATTCATTCAAAATTAGAGTTTATAATTAGAAAATATATAAAGGATAAAAACCATTGAATCTATTGATTAATAGAAATAATTCTAATTTAAGATTAAACCTCTTGAAATTACAATTTTATATGAGAAGCTGAATAGTTTATTATTGAAAAAGAAGTCTTCAATCTTTATTCATTTTTTAATAGTAACAAGAAATCAAACAGCTTCTAAAGTAAAATATAATATACAAGAATCAATAACTATTAAATGTTTTACACCAAGAGATATGAATTAAAAATCTTTAAATTGTATAAATAGTGGATGTAATAAATAACAAATTTGTAGTAATTTGAGTTTGTCATAATAGAGATATAACAAAGAAAATATTGGCTCAACTCGTTCAGCTCATTAGAATAGTTAATTAAGAACTAACTGTATTCATTATTAGATTGATACAATTAAAGAAAATAATAAAGAAAAAAAGAAAGACTTTTTATTATCACCTAGTGATACTCCATTACTTAATTAGAAAACTACAAAATATAATTTCTTAAAAAATAAGATTTATACTCCTAGTTATAATAAATAATTGAAATCTAGTTATAAATCTTATTAAACTTAAAGCAGAGAAAGAGTGTTTAGTAAAAACTTTAGAAAAGGTCTTCTTTAATTTGATGATAACAATCTAAATAATTACTAAATAACATAAACTATTATTTCTAATTAATAAAATTGTAAATCATTTAATAAATATTCATAGAAATTTCATACTTCTCTATAGAGACAAGCACACCTGAAGAAGAAGATTAATAGGATCAATTATTTACAAATCCTTCAGAATGGAATCAATATTTAATATCAAGAGATAACAAATTTGTTTCATCTAGATAATAAACTTGTGTCAATACTCAAACTTAATAGTTATAAAGAGAAACTATGAATATTCTAAAATCATGCCTTTTTGGATTTTTCTTAGGATTGTTTTTGGGATTAGTGCTATTAAAAAATTTATACATATTTATGTGATAAAATTATATAGAAATTAAAATCTTAGAATAATTTATTAAAATTATTTTAATTTGATTATCCTTTTTAATAAATAGATAAATTTCTTATAAGTTTTTTCAGTTCTTAGCAGATCTCACAGTTGTTATTAATTATAATATTCTATATTAATTATAACTAAATAATAATGAATAACATACTTTGATGAACATATGGATATTTAAAAAGATGAACTATTAATAGTATAAAACGAAAAAATAATAAAACAAATATAAAATATCATAAACAATTATCATTTTTATGGATATTAAGTTTAGATGTTTAGAATAGTTTTGAATTAATCGAGAAATTTAGTTTATGTAAATGCTCTTGATCAACGAAATTATTATCATGTTCATAGTTGTTTAGTTGATATTCATCTTCATATTCATATTACAGATTTTTTTATTGAGGTAAAGTCTTTGATGGAAGACGAATGCCAAATTTATCAAATTAATTTTGTTCTTTTTCATTAGATGCTCGAGAAAAAGAACTAATTTCTTATTGTTTTAAATAATCTTAACTTTTTCTACTTATAGGTACACTTAAAATTGATATTGTTCTATTTTTATTACCAAAATTTTAAGGAGTAGTTTATGTATTTGCTTAACTAACATAATGAATTCCTTAATCCATTTCCATACTAGCATGCATATTCATATGAGTTTCACCTTTTGCATTGATATCATGATATTATTTTGATACTATTTATTTGGGTAATGATATTTAACAAAAAAAGGGCGTTTTAAAAAATTAATGATTTAAAGCTTCACTTATTGTTATTCTATCCTTTGGATATTTTTTAGTCATTTAACATATCAAATTCTCTACTAAATTCATAATCTCAAATATTACTTACATGTTTTTGGGTATTTGGATGCAGGTATTTCGAAATAAGCTTCTGTATTCTTTTTAATCGTTTATTTTAAATCATTTTATTTAAATGGATTATATCCATATAATATTACAAATAATGTAATTCCAATACTAAATATATCACATTATTCATTATATGTTTTCTTAGATTCTTCATATTTCAATACTTCAGGAGCAGAATATCTAACAGTTATTTAAAAATCATACCCTGGACTTCCACATTAAGGAAATGGAATTTATTTTTACCAAGTAAAAGCTGCTAACCCAAAATCAATAATCACAGGCTTCTGAATGTCATTACCATTTAGTAAAATATTCTATGGTTTAATATCTCTATGCATAACTTTTTATAAATGAATTTATTCTATAGCACTTAGAATATTGAAAATCATTATTCTTAAATCTTCTTATGAATATATTTTCTTTGATGATTATTATGATACTAATTCAGGTCCATCAATATATTCAGTTAATAAATAAATATTTGATTAATTTTCATAGACTCTATATAATTTTAAGATATTTGGGTGATTAAACATGCGCAAAGCTTATATTTCATTTAATAATTATTCTTCATAATTTTTATTTTTGCTAATTTATTTAATTGTGTGCTTTTTTATGACTTTTACGGCAAAAATCTCACCTTCTTAATTTTAGCATTAATGGACCTAAAATTAATTATATAGATTTACTGTTGAGAAGCTTCCCTAACCTATCTAAACTCCTAATTTGTATGATTTATCAAAATCACTGAGGATACAACAATTAGATAATGCATCCATCCATATATTATATTGTTATAATTCATCTGTATATAGGTGTATTTAATAACCATTATTTATTAATGATATTTCCAATCCTTATTCAAACTGATGAAATTAACAATACACTGTGTCCAACTACACAAATCCCTTAATCCGATTACCTTTACCTACATCAGAATAAAGTAAAAATTGTTTGACCAAAAAGTAAGTTCTGACGCATCTTTATTTAAAAGTCTTTCCAACTTTTGTAAAGTTACCCATTAGTACTTAAACATTTTTAAAATCCTCTTAATCAAATGTAGGGATGTCAGTTTTGTTCCAAAATCCTTAATTCTCCACTTGACCCTTACTAAATATCATATATATTATTAAAAATTAACAAATTGAATAAAATAGCTACAATTTATTTTCTAATGTTGATGCTTTCTAAATCATCCCATCATCTAATCAATCTTTATGTTTCTAATTATCTATTACATCTGAAAATAATCAATTAAATAACTTATATTATTTTAGAAAATTATATAACTATCAACAATATTTCTATCAAAAATAATTCATATTCTCTTTCATACAAGTTACAAGTAATAAGATAAAAGAAAACAAATGATAAGATTGTATTATTATATATAGTTTTTAATTTACTCAAACAAATTATTGATTATATAGATAATAATCAACTTTTAACCTCCAGATTTCTTGATCAAATTTAAATCAATCTTGATCTTAATTTTATGTATAATAACTTATTATAATCAACTTTATTAAAGAAAAACTTTTAAAAGAAATTATAACTGAATTATCTATTTTTAATTAAATAATGCTAGTTATTATTCCAATAAATAATTCAATGAAAATAAGAACAGTTATAACATATTTTCAATTAATTGCTATCAATTATAAAATACATTTTAGATAATCTCTTAATAAGTAAGATTTAATTTTTAAATGAATTTTAGTTTTCTTATCAAATTAAAAAAATCCAAAATGTATATCATTCACCTGTTTTAAAACTTTAAGTTTTTTTACTAAAAAGTTAATTTATTTTCGAAATATTTGAGAATAATATTATTTAATACATCAACTTATAATAAAGGATTCTTTTTTTTTGTTTCCATAAATACAATTTATTAATTTTATTTCAAATTAATACAAGACTTAATTTTATTTATAAATAAAGAATTATTTCAATATTTATTAAGATATAACAGAGTTATATTTTATTAAAATTAAAATTAAAAAGGAATTAAATTACTAAAATTATTAATATTAAAAATTTTAATCTTAACTTAAAAAAAGTTTTAATAGTTAAGCATAATCATTTAATAATCTTAGAAATCATAAGACTTATTACTAATAACATCAAACATTTTATCAAAAAATTTTTATTAAATATCAAAATACTTGTCGCATTTACAATTTAACGACTAAAATACCTAGTCCTCTAATTTATTTACGAAAATAAAATGATAAATTAATTTTTCAATGAAAATAATAAAATCTATTTCTTTATTTATATATAAGATTAGTTTCCAATTAACAAATTTATTGTAAATGTTCACTTAAATTTAATATTATTATAATAAAAATATAAATTGCCTATATTTGGAGGGATTGATATCAAAATTTTATTTGAATTTCTAATTATAATATAATGATCAATAATATCAAAATAAAGATACAATTTCAGAGAGTTAAACAGAAATTACTAATACTATTAGAATTCAGTTATAATATTTGTTAATCATAAATTGCAAAGATAAACTAATATAATCAGTATTGTTAATGAGATTTATTATCTAAATCTGGAAGTTTTGGTAATTTTCGCAATCTATTACCATATTCCTATTATTTTTCATAATAGATGTCAAGGTTCTTCTTTGAGATATTTGGTTTGAGTGTTTGCAATTTTTTGATCAAATTTATATTTTCTAAAGAACTATTACAAGTATTATTTGTGCTTTTAATATCAGTTTAGGAGTGTTTTCTAAATCGATTCATGTTAAAATATGGATTTTCTCTTACTTTTATTCTTTCGATTTTGTCATCCAATAACTTATAAATTATGAGATAAGAAATACTCTTTATAATTTATCTTATGCATTTTATTATTATTGTTTATTAAATTTAGATGTGTGTTAAAGCATCAAAAATCGAGAATTGGTAGCACTTTTATTTTATTCAATTGTTTTATAGATGTTTATTTTTTCTTTATCTATTTGTTACATTCTTTTAAAATGGTTGTAGTACTCCTCTAGTTGATAAGATTCAATAGTAGGATTATGGATTATAAAACGATTAGCTTTCATGTATAAGAGTTACTTAATTAATTAAGTTTATTGATAAATTTAATGAACTTATTGTATGTATTTTATATTGGTTTACTCAAGCGAGTTTGATATCTTCAATGTGAACTGGAGTCATTGGTACATATTTATAAGATGGATCAGCATATTTAGTTTTCTTTACATGTTCAGATTGTGTTGATCTTTCTTTGATAATTTTTGCATGTTATTTATGATACTAAATTTTTGAATAAAATAATGATTTATACTCTTTTCATCATTTCTGCTGTATAAATTGAGCTAATTTCTGTATAATGTGCAGATAATCTTTGATTTAATGTATTCAATGGGAAATGTAAAGAATTTGTAGCTTTCTTCATCACATAATCTAAATTATCAGGACTAAGAATAACATTAAGATCAATTACTAGTATGATCTGTTCTCAGAGGAATAATATACTAATCTGAATAGACCTGCTAATACAGCTATAGGACCCAAGAAAACTGCTGCTCTCATTGGTCTTAACATATGATATCCTTGATGTGTTAATCCTCTAAATATATATAGATTCATATTTCTACTTCAATACTGAGTATTTATGACCCATAAAGGCTGTGGCAAACAATACTCTTCTGTTAAAGTAAATGAACATTTAATTTGTTGGATGATAGCCAAATTCTCTTGGTCCAATAAGGAAAAATCTACCGATCTTACCCAAAAGTCCTTGATATTGAGTGTAATATAGCTACCTGATCTTTTAGCCAATTTCTCATTTACAACAGCTGAGACTGGTTATAAAATCTTTAACCATGCCTATTGAATTGGATTCATCTTAATTAAATAAATGTTATAAGAAACTTTTAATAAAAATTACTAATTACGCATTCGGAAATCCATACCCAAATAACTGCCAAAACCATCTTTTGTTCCAATTATTGAAAGAAATTATTAACTCTCAAAGATCAATCAGAATTACTAATTTCCTCGAACTGATACTTCTTTAGATTCTTGTGATGAAATGGAAATTTATGGTGTTTATGATTTAAATTAGTAGAACAATAAGAAAATTAAATTCAACAAACATCTTAGTGTTTTAGATGTCTAAATTCCTATATAGAAGAGAAGACTTAAAACATAACATGAGGACAATAATTAAAAACCAATAAATTTATCTCTTAATATTCAACGAATTAAGACAGAGGTTTCTTAAGATAATATCTCAATTAAATTGCCTTCACTTAAATTTAGATCTAAAAAAAATGTGTTACAACTAAGATCAATTTCAAATACAATATGTCATCAGTGAATATAATAATAATTTAAAAATAATTATCAAACTATTATTGTTCTTCATTTCTTCAGCCCAAGATTTTTATTGTAAAAAACATAACAAAATTTATTGAATACCTTTTATTTATTAACTAAATTTTAATATTAGTTACATCAATATTATTATCAAATGAATTCTATATAAACATTATCTCTATGTGTATTGTTATTGTAAACAAATGATATATCACTTTCAACATTTATTTATATTATACATTCATTTGTAAATATTAATATAAAAACTAATAAGAAAGTAGTATCAAAAATTATCAATAAAAAGAATACTACTATATACTCAAAATATCATATGTAATTAATTCTGATTATTTAAATTATGTGCTTGAAAGTCATAATATCAATTTTTATAAAATGGGTATTTTAAATAATTTTAATAATAATGTCTGAATATCATGATGAATTTCAAGAAGATCAATAAAAATTAAATGCCTTAAATCTATCTTGGACATTGGGGTTTAATTATAAAATGGTAAATGGAGTTCACAACCTCACTAATGATTCTCGTAAGGTATGATCAATTTGAATTTAGGAAATATTTTATGCAACAGCACACACAGGAGTGATATTTGATTATGGAAATAATTAATAAAGATTATTATAAGGACATGTATAATATTATGTGATTTATAGTGTAACAAAATTTCATGCACTGCATATTGCAAAGAATTAGACATAATTGTAACTGCTGATGCAGGGCCTGACAGTATGTTAGTCATATGGGATGCAAAGACAGGAGTACCTAGAAGAACGATATTTGAACCACATGCTAATGGTGTTTAAGCTGTGGATATTAGTGAAAATGGACAATATTTGGTAACATTGTCAAAAGAAGAACCTGATAAAATATAATCTATATCATTTTGGGATTGGTAATCTCAAGATCCTCGTCTAAGAACAACAGTGTTAGATGATAAATTAAAGGATTATTAATACTATGTTACAATTAATAATAATGCTGAATAAAAGTAAAATCAACAATAAATATTTGAATTTGCAACAACAGGTAAAAAGAGAGTAGTCTTTTGGAGTTGGGAATATGGAGCAGCAGGATTTGAATATTATAGTCCTGAAGTTCAAAAAAACAAGGTTTTGACATAGACTGTATTTATTCCAAAGAACAAGAATGTTGTAACAGGAACATTAGATGGATATATTATAGTTTGGGATGTTTCTCTTATTATTGAAGAATATGGATAGCCAGATGAGAGAAGAGTAATTAAAATAGTGAATCTTATGAATGTTGCTAATAAATCTGAAACTTAATAAAAGAAAGGAAATGCTTAGATATTATTATTAAGAGTATAAGGAAGATATTTAGTGGTTGGAGCATCAAATGGATCTATAAGATTTTATGATTTCAAATTCAGAATACGAGCTTGGTTTGAAGATGTTGTTATTGGATAAAATGGTTTAAACATATAATGTATAGGATCAATAACTAATTTATCATTTGCAAATGAAAATATGTTTTAGGAAGATTTTGAAACTGAATCTGATGACGAGAAAGACAAAGATGAATAATCTTAAAAAAAGTCTAAACCATTTGTATGTTAAGATTTTATTGTTGTTGATGATAAGGCTAATGTTATTTTATTAAAGTCATCACAATTTTAGGAAATTGAAAAAGAAAAAAAGAAAGGAACAGTAATTATGTCATCTATTGTTTCACCCATTATTTCCATATCAGTTAGACCTAATGTACCTGTAGTTGCATTTAGTTGTGAAGATAATAAAATATATGAATGGAATTTCTATGAAAAACATAATAAACTTAAAGAAATAAAAGAAAAGGGTAGTGAATTACAAATATAAAGTACATTTATTGAATATAGTCCTGATGGTAATTATTTAGCTGTCTGTTCTAAAAATGGAATTGTTCATATGTATGATTGTAGAGAAGAGAAATGGCTTAAAAATTTATTGGTTTCTGAAACTGATAAAACTAAACCTAAAATAACTTATTTAACATTTAGTATTGATTCAAAATATTTTGCTACTATTGATGAATCTTATGCAGTTAGTGTTTTTAATTTTGATTTTGATCCTAATAGTTAATTGAAATAATCAAAAGAATGGATATTTGCTGGTAAATATAGAGTACATCATGGACCAATTAAATCAGTTGCCTTTGGGGAAACACTTGATGAAAAGAATTAAGTGTAATTAAAGGTGTTCACTATAGGAGAAGATATGAAATTGGCAGTTTATGATGTTTTGGATCCAACTTAAGATCCATATAATAGAGTTAAATTAAGAAGTGTTGTCTCTATTGAATAAGAATGTTTACCATCAGCATGTATTTGGTATCCAATCAATTTATAAAGAGAAGATGTTTTATTAACAACAAATAGTGAATTTAAATTAAAATTATGGACAGTTTTAAAAGATCTTCGTATTATTTGTAAAAAGACTTGTTTAGGTCCAACTTTTGGTGGACATATCAAGAGATTATTATTATTAAATCCAAGTGATATGAAAAATGAATATTAAGATAAATATTTAGCCTATTCTACAGGTGAAAAGGTTGTTGGTATAATTAAATTACCTTTAGATGGTAATCCTAATAAAACTATGGGTTTGATTGCACATCCTGAGAAAATTGTTGATTTATCATCAACTTAAGATGGTAAATTATTTTTTACATCTGGTGGTGATGATTTTGCAATTAATATTTGGAGTGTTGATTTTGCTGCATTAGAAGATAATTTTTAAACATAAGAAACAGAATATGAAATATTTTCAAATTTATTAGATGGAGGACCTGAAGGATAAACATTAAGAGATTTAAAAGACTTCTTTTATTATAGTCAAATTAGATCAAAAGATGAACATACAACTAAAGCTAGAAAATTAGATGGTCTAGTTCCATTAACTGCTATTGCTGATATGATGAGATCTATGGGATACTTTCCAACAAATTAAGAAATTGAAAATATGATAAATGAGATTAAATTTTCAAAATATCTTGAAACAGGTGAATAAATATCAGAATTAGAAATTAATACATTCCTTAAATTATATGTTAATCATAAACCTGTAAATGGAGTTACAAAAGGATAAATATATGATGCTTTAAAAACACTTTCAAATGACTCAGGAGTAATACCATGGGATTAATTTACTGAATTATTAAAAACAAAAGGTGAAAAATTAGATGAATAAGAAATTGAATGTAATATTGTTATTTATTATTATAGATTATTTGGAATCATTAATGCCAAATAAAAATTATCCCTAATAATTACATTTAAATAATCTTTGTGATGACTTATTAGGTTTTGANTAATAAACTTAAAGAAATAAAAGAAAAGGGTAGTGAATTACAAATATAAAGTACATTTATTGAATATAGTCCTGATGGTAATTATTTAGCTGTCTGTTCTAAAAATGGAATTGTTCATATGTATGATTGTAGAGAAGAGAAATGGCTTAAAAATTTATTGGTTTCTGAAACTGATAAAACTAAACCTAAAATAACCTATTTAACATTTAGTATTGATTCAAAATATTTTGCTACTATTGATGAATCTTATGCAGTTAGTGTTTTTAATTTTGATTTTGATCCTAATAGTTAATTGAAATAATCAAAAGAATGGATATTTGCTGGTAAATATAGAGTACATCATGGACCAATTAAATCAGTTGCATTTGGTGAAACACTTGATGAAAAGAATTAAGTGTAATTAAAAGTGTTCACTATAGGAGAAGATATGAAATTGGCAGTTTATGATGTTTTGGATCCAACTTAAGATCCATATAATAGAGTTAAATTAAGAAGTGTTGTTTCTATTGAATAAGAATGTTTACCATCAGCATGTATTTGGTATCCAATCAATTTATAAAGAGAAGATGTTTTATTAACAACAAATAGTGAATTTAAATTAAAATTATGGACAGTTTTAAAAGATCTTCGTATTATTTGTAAAAAGACTTGTTTAGGTCCAACTTTTGGTGGACATATCAAAAGATTATTATTATTAAATCCAAGTGATATGAAAAATGAATATTAAGATAAATATTTAGCCTATTCTACAGGTGAAAAAGTTGTTGGTATAATTAAATTACCTTTAGATGGTAATCCTAATAAAACTATGGGTTTGATTGCACATCCTGAGAAAATTGTTGATTTATCATCAACTTAAGATGGTAAATTATTTTTTACATCTGGTGGTGATGATTTTGCAATTAATATTTGGAGTGTTGATTTTGCTGCTTTAGAAGATAATTTTTAAACATAAGAAACAGAATATGAAATATTTTCAAATTTATTAGATGGAGGACCTGAAGGATAAACATTAAGAGATTTAAAAGACTTCTTTTATTATAGTCAAATTAGATCAAAAGATGAACATACAACTAAAGCTAGAAAATTAGATGGTCTAGTTCCATTAACTGCTATTGCTGATATGATGAGATCTATGGGATACTTTCCAACAAATTAAGAAATTGAAAATATGATAAATGAGATTAAATTTTCAAAATATCTTGAAACAGGTGAATAAATATCAGAATTAGAAATTAATACATTCCTTAAATTATATGTTAATCATAAACCTGTAAATGGAGTTACAAAAGGATAAATATATGATGCATTAAAAACACTTTCAAATGACTCAGGAGTAATGCCATGGGATTAATTTACTGAATTATTAAAAACAAAAGGTGAAAAATTAGATGAATAAGAAATTGAATGTAATATTAATATTTTATTATTATTTTAGATTATTTGGAATCATTAATGCCAAATAAAAATTATCCATAATAATTACATTTGAATAATCTTTGTGATGATTTATTAGGTTTTGAAGATATGGATGGTACTTAAGAATAGTAAGAGTAATAAGAAGAAGTTTAAGATGTTGGTTCTGAAGACGAATAGTAGTGAAATTATATTTATTTTTATTCTAAATTTAAAATTAAGTTAATGTGTTTCTATTATTTATATAACTAAATACTTTATATTCTTAAATAAAGAAAATAAAGTAATTTGATTATTTAATTATTAATAAGTATTTTTAATAGGATTATTATAAATTAAAAATCATAATANGTTCACTATAGGAGAAGATATGAAATTGGCAGTTTATGATGTTTTGGATCCAACTTAAGATCCATATAATAGAGTTAAATTAAGAAGTGTTGTCTCTATTGAATAAGAATGTTTACCATCAGCATGTATTTGGTATCCAATCAATTTATAAAGAGAAGATGTTTTATTAACAACAAATAGTGAATTTAAATTAAAATTATGGACAGTTTTAAAAGATCTTCGTATTATTTGTAAAAAGACTTGTTTAGGTCCAACTTTTGGTGGACATATCAAAAGATTATTATTATTAAATCCAAGTGATATGAAAAATGAATATTAAGATAAATATTTAGCCTATTCTACAGGTGAAAAAGTTGTTGGTATAATTAAATTACCTTTAGATGGTAATCCTAATAAAACTATGGGTTTGATTGCACATCCTGAGAAAATTGTTGATTTATCATCAACTTAAGATGGTAAATTATTTTTTACATCTGGTGGTGATGATTTTGCAATTAATATTTGGAGTGTTGATTTTGCTGCTTTAGAAGATAATTTTTAAACATAAGAAACAGAATATGAAATATTTTCAAATTTATTAGATGGAGGACCTGAAGGATAAACATTAAGAGATTTAAAAGACTTCTTTTATTATAGTCAAATTAGATCAAAAGATGAACATACAACTAAAGCTAGAAAATTAGATGGTCTAGTTCCATTAACTGCTATTGCTGATATGATGAGATCTATGGGATACTTTCCAACAAATTAAGAAATTGAAAATATGATAAATGAGATTAAATTTTCAAAATATCTTGAAACAGGTGAATAAATATCAGAATTAGAAATTAATACATTCCTTAAATTATATGTTAATCATAAACCTGTAAATGGAGTTACAAAAGGATAAATATATGATGCTTTAAAAACACTTTCAAATGACTCAGGAGTAATACCATGGGATTAATTTACTGAATTATTAAAAACAAAAGGTGAAAAATTAGATGAATAAGAAATTGAATGTAATATTGTTATTTATTATTATAGATTATTTGGAATCATTAATGCCAAATAAAAATTATCCCTAATAATTACATTTAAATAATCTTTGTGATGACTTATTAGGTTTTGAAGATATGGATGGTACTTAAGAATAGTAAGAGTAATAAGAAGAAGTTTAAGATGTTGGTTCTGAAGATGAATAATAGTGAAATTATATTTATTCTTATTATAATATTAAAATTAAATTAATAGGTTTTCTATTTATAAATTTAAATCATATACATTTAACTAAATATTTAAATATTGTCTTATAAAACTATTCAATTTGATAATATATATTTATATATATATGTATTTAGAATAAGATCTACATACTATTTTAAAGCTAAATTAAATAGTTGAAATATTAATGATAATAATATTATGATAGGTTAATCACTATGAGAATAGAAAATTAATAAGTGTAATATTATAGTAATTGAAGAGAATGTAATATTACTAGTTTTTAATAATAAAAAGTTTGCCAATACAAGCAATTTATTAGAAATAATGATTGTTAATTATTATATTTTTCAAATTCAAATTTTTCAATGTATAAAGAAGAAGCAATTCCATTAATCACATATGATGCTTAAAATAGAAGTAAGTAAATATTCAATAGATAGCTTACAATTTGGCAGAAGAGGCGGCAAAAATGATTAGATCTATAAATAATCCAATTGCAATTATCTCAGTAGCAGGTTTGTATAGAACAGGAAAATCATATCTATTAAATAGAATAGTACTCAATCGTAGCAATGGTTTCGGAGTTGGACCAACAGTAAATCCATGCACAAAAGGAATGTGGGTTTGGGGAACACCCATTACAGTTGGAAAGACTTCAATTTTAATAGTAGATTCAGAAGGAACAGGTGCTTTGAATGACTCAGATGTTAATCATGACACAAGAATATTTGCTCTTGCTGTTTTATTGGCATCGTCATTTGTTTATAATTCAGTTGGAGCTATTGATGAAGGAGCATTAGAATCATTAAGCTTTGTTGTCAATTTGACAAAATTCATATAATTAAGATCAAATGAAGAGCCAGATTCTGAAGAATATGGAGAATTTATGCCTTAATTCTTTTGGGTATTAAGAGATTTTTCATTATAATTGTTGGATAACAATGGAGACACTCTTACAAGTCATCAATATTTAGAGAGATCTTTATAAGAATAACCAGGATTTTGTGATAGAGTAGAGGAGAAGAACAGAATAAGAAGATTATTGAGAACATTCTTTCCTGAAAGAGAATGTTTTACATTAGTAAGACCAGTTAATAATGAGAGTTAATTATAATCACTTTAACATTTGGATCTTAAATAATTAAGACCAGAATTTTATGAATAAGCAATATCTTTGAGGAAAATGCTGTTTTCTAAAGTGAAACCTAAATAATTTAGAGGGAAAACACTTACAGGTGGAATGTATATCAATTTGATTAAGTAAGAGTGTATAAAATTAATTTAGTTCTTATTTATAAGCAATGAATAATGGATGTGTAGCCACGATTGAGAGTTCATGGACATATGTATTTAGAGAAGAATGTAGAAAATTATAAACAGAAGCATTTGAAATATATGAAAAATAGATTAAAGAAAATTTGCTTTCAAAACTTCCAACTACTCTTGAGGATATAAAGGCTTTGAATAAAGTATGTAAGAATAAGGCTATTACACATATGGGGAATAATGCTGAAATAATTCCATATGTAAATGAATTAAAACAAAAGATTAAAGGTAAATTTGAGAATCTTTTGGCTTTTAATGAAACTGAATCTATGGCTTTATGTAAATAATATTTGGTATCATAATTTGCTCCTATTGATCAAAAATTAAAAATGTCAGAATATAAATCTTATGTTGAATTTGAAAAGGATTTAAAATTGTTCAATATCTTTTTGGATGAACATGGACCTAAGGTTGTTAAAAGAAAATAAATGTTTGTAGAATTTATATAAAAGATGACAAATGAAGGAGCTACATTTTTTGTATAAAATATCCAATAGGATTTTGAAGGATATAAGAAGTTTTCTGAAGAACAAATAAATAAATTATAAAATGGATTAAACACTATAAAAATAGATTCACAAAAATAATTAGATTAATAGAATTAATAAATTAAATAATTAAATTAATAAAATAATGAAATAACACAAAAATATAAAATATAATGTGATGAATTAGAAAAGTTGAAATAAAAAAATACATAAACTACATAATAAATGAAAACATAATTTGAAAATGATTATAATAAATTGTAAACTAGTTTTGAAGAATTAAAATAGAAATGTTAGATGGCTGAAGAATCATTAAAGAATGCAGAAAGAGAGTAATTTATTTTGTAGAGTGAATCAAAAAAGAAAGAAGCTTTATTAGAATAGAAAATATCACATTTATAAAAGTTGAATGATGAATTCAACAAAAAAGAGAAATAATATGATTCATCTTTGATGACATCTAAGAGTGAGTTTTCTGTTAAATTGAGAGAATTAACAGCATCTTATGAATAAACTTTAAGTGAAGTAAGAGCTTAGAATTTGTAATTAAATGAAAAGTTATAGGAGACTTCAGATTAATTAATGTAATTAGAAATTAAATATGAAAATTATTATTAAGTTTAAACTCATAAAGAAGAGACTTAAAGTAATGCTATCAAGAAATTAATGTAATCATAATAAACATTACAAGAATAAATTAATATTGAAATTTCAAAAAATAAATAACTTTAAGATGAATTATTATAGACTTAAATGTAAGTAGAATCAAATGAAGTTGGTGAATAATATAAATAATAAGTTAAATTATTGGAAATTAAATTATAAGAATAAAAATAAATATAATTGAAGAGTGATGCAGTTTTGAATCAATAAATTTAATTTTTGTAGATGGAATTAGAAGAAAAGAAAAATACTATTAATGATGTCAAAAAATCTCATGAATCAGCAATGTTGGCTTTAGAATAATCATAAAATACATAAAATTAATAATAATTAAATAAATCTCTTATTGATTTGAAAGAATAACATATGATTGAAATTAGATAAGCAGAACAAAATTCATAACAGTTAAGAAAACAATTACAATAATAATTAGATTAATTATAAAGTGAACTATAAGAAGCAGAAATGAGAGGGGATGTATACTTATAAGAAAAGAATAAATTATAAGAAGAATTAAATGAAAGTTATTAAGTTTAAGATGAATTGAAATAAAAGATTTAATAATAATTAAAAGAGATGGAATCAAATAAATATACATAATTTAGAGAAAAGGAATTAAGAATGAATTAAAGAATTAAATAATTAGAAGAGGAATTAAGTTAATGCAAATAATAACTATAAAATATGGGTAATGTAGATAAAAATAGTATTGAATAATAAGTGAATGAATTAAGAAATTATTATGAAATGGAAAAGGATGTTTTGGAGAGAAGAATTCATGAAGAAAGATAGAAAGCTGATTAGAAATATTAAATATTATTTGAAGAATAAGAATAGAAAATGAGAGATGAACAATAATAATATGAAGAAGAAATAGAAACATTAAAAGATGAATTAAGAGATTTGGAAATCAATTTAACTACTTAATAATAATAATATGATAATGAAATAGAATTAAAGAATAAATAACTTAATTCTATGGAGAATATTTTAAATGAGACAAAAGAACAATTAGTTTAATTATAAAATACTTTCTAAACTTAAGTTGAATAAAGAATCAATAATCTTAATGTGACAATATAATCATTAGAAAGTCAATTAACTAATTAATAATAGAATAATTAATAATTAGTTAAGGAAAATTAATTAATGACTTAGAAAGTAGAAAATTTGGATGTCAAATTCCAATAAAAATTAAGTGAATTCAAATAATTGAAAGAAGATTAAGAAAAGGAGAAAACTTAATTATAAGAGACATTATAAGATTTGAGAAGAAAATATACTGCAACTTGTGATGAATATTTAGAGAAGAAGATAAATTATGAAAAAGCTATAGCATTAAGTGCTTAATAGAATGAATTTTTCGCCAAAAAAGTTGAAGAATTGGAAAGATAATTAGAGAGTTGTAATTTGAAATATGAAGAGAGAATAAAAATATAGAAATAGGAATGGACTTAAGAACTATCAGATAGATTATCAAAATTAAATGAAGAGAAATAATTGATTGAATCTAAAAGTACATAGCTTAAGAAACAATTAAGAGAAAAGGAAACTTATTTATTGAAGGCTTAATAAGATTTAGAAAAAGAAACTGCTTTGTCAAATGAAAAAATTGTATATTTAGAATAGAAATTAAGAGAACATGAATAATAAACATCATCAGAGAATAGTAATGCTGCTATGTAATTGAAATAATTAAGAGAATAATTTAATATATTAAAATCAAAATCATCATCTGATATAGATTAACTAAAATCATAATTGACAAATCTTGAATTTGAGAAGTAAGAATTATAGGCTAATTATGAGAAGGATAAGATATTATGGGTATTATTATAATTTAATATTTTTATAGTAAGGAAAAACATAATTTTTAGAATCATAAAGAGAATCATTGAAACTAGAATTAGCTGATGCCATGAGAAAATTTGAAACAACAATTCAAACATTATAAAGATAAAGAAGTCTAGAAAGAAATGATCATAATTAAGATATAACAGAAATGTTAAATTAGATTGAAAGAAAGTATTAAGATTAAGTTAAAGATATATAACAATAACATTAAAAGAAATGTGATGATTATTAAGAGAGAATTGAAAGATTAGAAAAAGAACTTAAACAATCTCAAAGTAAAGAGTTACTTGATCAATAATCTAAGATTGGATAACAATTTGAAAGAAAGACTGCAGAATTATTAGAGAATGAGAAAAGACTATTAAATACAATTGAAGAATTAAAATAAGAAAGAGATCAACGTATACTTGAACATCATGAAGAAGTAGAATAAGAAAAAGAGTATTGGAGAAATAAAATTAATGAATTAGAAGAAAGATAAAGAGAATCAGATAAAAAATAATCTTAACTAATTTTCTATCATGAAAAAGAAAGAGCTAAATGGAGTTAAGAAAAAGATTATATTATGTAATAAAAAATGGAATTGTAAGATTAATTATCAAGATTAGAGAAAAAGAAAGAATTATTACTAAAAGAAAATGAAAAAATGAAGAATTCTTCAAAAAGTCTTAGAAAATATAATCCTAATCAAACTCTTAATAATAGTTATTTAAATAAATAAGCAAGTGATAAAAAGATCCCTTCATAAGTATATTATTATTCTATTAAATTATTAGGAAGTAGTTAATATGAGTTATGATGTAACTAAATCATTAGAGGATAAAGATCCAAGTGCTAAAGAAAATCTATCTACATCAACAACTTTTGGTAGTTTCAAAAAATATTATTAAATGATGAACTCTAAACAAGTCAGTCCTAGTAAAATAAAAGAGATTTCAGATATTTGATAAATTAATATATATATATATATATAACACAAGAAACTCATATTTATGCAGACCATTATTATCTTAGTGAATTCTCATAAAGTGATCTTTGTAATATATTATTAGCAAATCCTATATCAACACAATATTGGTTTTGCCTATCAATAATGCACTAACCTAAAGCTGCATCATATAATGAAATAATAAATTTATCAATCTATCTTGGAGAAAAGTCTTCCATTTATTTTGCTAAAGATTAGATTTCATCTTCTGAAAGATTAAAATTCACTTTGAATCTCTTTGAAAATGCTTTGGCTGGATTCAATATCAAAGAAAGCATGTTACTCTTTTAAAAAGTATCTTCAAATCCTTTTTTTAATAATTTAACTCTTTATTCTTCATTCAAATAATCAAATTTAACAATTTAATCTATTCTATCTAAAATGGCTTCATCCAATTTATTTGGTAAATTGGTTGCTAATATTAAAGAATATTTCTTTGAAGCTGCAGATGTCTAAGCTAAAAATGTTGATAAAGCGGCAGATGTTTATTTTGAAGAACTTCTTTTATAGAATATAGCCTCAGCTTCATCAATAAATATTAATGTTCCTTTTGGTGTAGATTAACACCAAGAAAATAATTTATCAATCTCAGGAACTGCCTATTCTCCCAATTTTTCAATATCTCCACCTGAAATTATAGCAAAGTGTAATCCTGAATTATAAGCAAGCAATTTGGCAAATAAAGTCTTACCTGTTCCTGGTTGACCATGAAATAATAAATTTCTTAATGGAGCAGACTAACTCTATTTGGCAATAAATCCAGATGTAATCAATTTAAGTGTGAGTTCAAGCTCAGGATTTAAGATTATTTTATCAAATATTCGTTTAGAACTTGGCATCATCCATTTCAATGAACGACGAGAAGTTTCTCTAACTAAAGTAGGTTTTGTAAGCATAGCTTCTAATCTTTTGAATCCAAGTCCTAAACTATATTTACTGAAGAAAAAGGCTCCACTTACAAACAACATAACTTTTGCAATTGTAAAAAGACCTTATGGATTTTATTACAAGTATTTAAATCCCTCTTAGAATTTAGCAAAATAAAGATTATGTAATTCAATTTTAGCTTATTTTTCTATTTAAGATTTCTTTTCTTATTCTTAAATAATTAAATCAAAATTCTTTCTATAATTCTCAGCATTTAGTTTAGCTTATAATGTTATTTTTTTTTCCTCTAATTCAAATTATTTCTTCATTTACAATGTTAATGTTTCTCTCCTCATATTTTCTTACCTTCTAATTGATTCTTCAGCCTCTTCTCTCATTCTTTAGGCAGTCAATTCTTTCTCTTTCAATTTATCTTTAGTTCTTTCTCTTTCCAATTTATCATTATAATCTGCTATCTATTAATTCACTTATTTTTGATGATCCATATTTCTTCTTCTCTCTTCTCCTTCAACTTTAACCTTTGAAATTTCATGTTATTTTTGCAATGCTTGTTTATCTGCTTTTTTGGCCTCTTCAGTCTTAATCATGGCTTCAAGGGCTTTTGCAGCATGTGGAGACTAATTTAATTCACGTAAGGCCTATTTTAATAGTTTAATAAGAAATACTATTGCTGCTCTTTCTAAAGCTGTTGGATCAAAGACTCCTTAATTCTTCATAATTAAATTTAATTATTTATGAATTGTGTAAATTGCAATACAAAAGTAGAAAATCCAAATGCAATGACCTAATGTCCTCATTGTAATCATGAAAACTAAGATTGGTATTTTAGTTGTGAAAACAATATACTCCTTGTTGATATGATTCTATGTAAAGTAAGTGCTTATCGACATTTACTAATAAATAGTTAAGTATTGAATATATTTAAATTTAAGTATGCTCTGATACCAGCTTCAACTATCTTGTTCATTACTTATATACTTTTAGAATTATTTTATAAATATTAATCAAATATACTACACAAATAAGAATAGGAATTGAATTTTGAAGATGTTTAGAAATAAACAATAGATATAACATTAACATTATTGTCATAAATTGTTACAATATATATAATATCATTAATTATATTTAGAAAATTACAACACTAATAAATGATTATTGGTTTGATTTTATCATAATTTGGAAGATTAGCAATTATTATGTTTGTAATTTGGGGTCATTAACCATTTTATAAATAAATGGCTTCTTTGTCAATAATTATGAGTGAATGGACAACAATAAGATCTTTATGTGAATACAAGAATGAATGGTTAAAAAGTGGTATTGTTATAATTTTAACAATACTTCTAAGATATTTTTTGAATAATAGTATAACAATATTATGATTTTTAAATTCTATTTTTGGTTATTATTTTTTACTTTTTCTATTAAATATTATAAANTATTCTTAAATAATTAAATCAAAATTCTTTCTATAATTCTCAGCATTTAGTTTAGCTTATAATGTTATTTTTTTTTCCTCTAATTCAAATTATTTCTTCATTTACAATGTTAATGTTTCTCTCCTCATATTTTCTTACCTTCTAATTGATTCTTCAGCCTCTTCTCTCATTCTTTAGGCAGTCAATTCTTTCTCTTTCAATTTATCTTTAGTTCTTTCTCTTTCCAATTTATCATTATAATCTGCTATCTATTAATTCACTTATTTTTGATGATCCATATTTCTTCTTCTCTCTTCTCCTTCAACTTTAACCTTTGAAATTTCATGTTATTTTTGCAATGCTTGTTTATCTGCTTTTTTGGCCTCTTCAGTCTTAATCATGGCTTCAAGGGCTTTTGCAGCATGTGGAGACTAATTTAATTCACGTAAGGCCTATTTTAATAGTTTAATAAGAAATACTATTGCTGCTCTTTCTAAAGCTGTTGGATCAAAGACTCCTTAATTCTTCATAATTAAATTTAATTATTTATGAATTGTGTAAATTGCAATACAAAAGTAGAAAATCCAAATGCAATGACCTAATGTCCTCATTGTAATCATGAAAACTAAGATTGGTATTTTAGTTGTGAAAACAATATACTCCTTGTTGATATGATTCTATGTAAAGTAAGTGCTTATCGACATTTACTAATAAATAGTTAAGTATTGAATATATTTAAATTTAAGTATGCTCTGATACCAGCTTCAACTATCTTGTTCATTACTTATATACTTTTAGAATTATTTTATAAATATTAATCAAATATACTACACAAATAAGAATAGGAATTGAATTTTGAAGATGTTTAGAAATAAACAATAGATATAACATTAACATTATTGTCATAAATTGTTACAATATATATAATATCATTAATTATATTTAGAAAATTACAACACTAATAAATGATTATTGGTTTGATTTTATCATAATTTGGAAGATTAGCAATTATTATGTTTGTAATTTGGGGTCATTAACCATTTTATAAATAAATGGCTTCTTTGTCAATAATTATGAGTGAATGGACAACAATAAGATCTTTATGTGAATACAAGAATGAATGGTTAAAAAGTGGTATTGTTATAATTTTAACAATACTTCTAAGATATTTTTTGAATAATAGTATAACAATATTATGATTTTTAAATTCTATTTTTGGTTATTATTTTTTACTTTTTCTATTAAATATTATAAACAAATATTGATAATAATGATATTGATAAAATTTAATTTAATAAATATTTCTTCATACTAATTTCTTAACCATATATACTCCTTCAGTATGATATCCTAATTTACGATAATAATGTCTTGTTCCAATTCCTGCAATAACTGCCATTTTAGTACTACCATGTTCTTCTCTTGCAATTTTTTCTGCTTCTTCCATTAGTAATGTACCATATCCTTAATGTTAAAATTTAGAAGGATCTCTTGAATGTATTGGTACTACTGAACCATATACATGCAACTCTCTAACCATAGAAGTAGGTTCCTAAATTAATTCTTTTCTGAATGTATGTTTATCCAATCTTCTGAGTCTCAATAATCCTATTAAAATATCTTAAGAAGGATCTTCATATGATAGAAATGTTTCCCATCCATCATTAGCTGTATAATCTCTTCTAATTAATTCGACTTATTCTGGTTTAATTTTATGATGAACTTCTTTAATTCCAACTTCTCTAGTTCTAACATCTCTACAAGCAACATTTAAATCTTTCATTCTTTATAATGATAATTCTCTCAAATTTCCATTATCAACTCCTGATGTAACTAAAGGCATAGGAATATCTCTTTAAATTCTATAGACTCTAGTCCAAGGTGGAACTAAAGCAAGTATTTTAGCAACAACATCAACTAAGAAATCAGGTGGATAATTTCTATATTATCCATTTTTCCATAATTCATATAATCCAGTACCTCTAATAACAAGAGTTGGATATATCTAATTTTAAATACTAAAATACTTTCAATCCATCTGGTCTAAAATCAGGATTTTCAAAAAACTCTTTAAAACTTTCTAAATCTCTTTCTACTCCCATATTAGGTAAATCAGGCATCATATGTGTTACTACTTTATATCCACTATCTTTGCTCATTGCAAAACATTTCTTGACTGATTCAACTGTATGTCCTCTATTAGTATCTCTTGCAACTTAATTATAAAATTATAATAATTACTATCTTCATAAATTGATTAAACACCAACTTCAATACGAGTACATCCATATAATAACATATCACTTAAATGACTTTTCTGACAAAAATCAGGTCTTGTTTCTATTGTAATACCTATACACTTAGATCTACTCTCTTCAGAGAATTGAACTGATTCTTTAACTGTTTATGAACGATGACCACTTAAAGCATCATGTAAATTTCTAATAAAATAATCTCGATATTCTTAATCCAAAGACATAAATGTTCCACCCATTATAATATATTCAACCTTATCACAATCATGTCCTAATTATTTTAATTAAGCTATTCTATCTCTTGCTTAGATATATGGATTATATCTTGCTCTAATTGCTCTCATACTTGTAGGTTCATAACCTGTATAACTTTAAGTAGAATATTCAAAATCACTATCAGGTCCCTTAATTAATTTTATAAATATTCATACTCCTGGACAATAAATACAAATATTTCCTGTAACAGCTATATGTGGACATCTATGTGGTTTTGCCATTACAGCTACTACAGCTATACCAGATGCTGTTCTCACTGGTTTTGCTTTTAAAATTGGTATCAATTTATCTTTATAATCATCTGGAATTGCTGATAATATTTCTACAATCTTAGGTGCTCCTGAGATCTTATTCTTTTTTGAAAATTCTGATTTTATTTGTGATAAATTTATTTTCTAATTGTTATCATACTATTTTATCAATTCTGCAACTATTTCTGAAATACACTTTAATTTATCTACTGTAGAATCTTATTATTTTTTTCCCTTCTTCTCTTTTTACTCCATTAAAATATTAAAAAAGAATTATATTTATTATAGTAAATTATTTAATTAATTTATGATAATAATTAATATGAGTATCTTTAAATATTTTGTTCTTCTATTCTTTTCATTCAACCTCTTCTAAAATCCCATTACTAAATTGAAACTGTTAATTTTATTCTCCTCTAAAAATCTTATCATCTCAATCTCCATTTATTAATGTCCATCTCCATTTTTAAAACTTTCAAATCTCCTTATTTTCATCTATTTTATTATCTAATTTTCTCATACTTCCTATACTGTTATATATTGGATAATAATCTTCAAAATATGTATATTAACTTTGGTCTAGATTTAAATTTCATTTTTTTTTAATCTGACCATTTGTTTAAATCATGTAATTATTAAATATCATTCATTTAACATCCTTCCTTAATTTCTTAGATCATAAAATTTACTTATATCAATTATTCAAAAGTTGAGCCAACAATATCATTTATTTAATAATGACATAATTTTCTAATTTTTCTTCATGGTCAAATCCTAAAGTATTATTAAAATAGGACAGGTGATGTCCAATTTATATATTTAAAAAACAGAAATCTCTATAAAAATAAGTTAAAATGCCATATATAATTATTAATTTAGTAAAGTACATAGTCAAAATTCAGAAATCTCATTCAAAATTTTGTTGGACTTTCAGCAAACTTTTTAGTTAAATAAGAATTCCAAGAATATAGCTTCTCAGTTAATTCTAGAACTTATGGTGTTTTTCTTATTTTTTATGAAAATTAAAATGAGTAGGCTCTTTGTGAATTCTTTGTTGTTAATGGAGATGTAAAAATAGTCTTAATCTCAGTGTCATCTTCTTCAGGCACTGGTGAAATATCTCCAAAACTTTGTAGTGTTGACAATTGGGATTGCTCTTATTTCTACATATCAATCTATAATTAATAATAAAAATATTAGTGACATATTAAATCTTGATTCTATTAATAATCCCATTTACCGACCAAAAAATCATCCCCTAAAATATTCTATTTATTTTAGATAAATCTTAAATAGTTCAGTTTTTATAATAAATTATCTCTTCTTTTTTATTCATCTTAATTATATAATATTAATTCTATCAACAAGCAAAATACTAATAATTGATAAATTTGAAAGTTTACATTCAAAAACTTACACAAATTGTTTATTAATATATCAAAATATTTTTAATTAAAATTATTATTTATTCTGCTAGTACCTTAGAGAATCATTTAAGTAAAATTTACGTTATTTATTACATATTTTTTGAATCTGTTAAACACATATAAAATAAGCAAATGCTTTCAATTAATCTTCTTGAAATTTTATTAATTAGAATTTTATAATTTGCTTATAAAAATATTTTAAATTCTAGATTTATTTAATAAATTCTAAGCTTTAAAATATTTATATATAAAATTGTTTCACTGTTTAAAAAGTGTAAAATTACAATCGAAATACATGAAGATATATCCATATAAAATTAATAATAAGTATTAAAGAAAATATTTTACAGACAAAAATTGAATAAAATGTGAAAATTATTTATATATTATTTAATGAGTAATTTTAAAAGAAATGATAATTCTAAAAAGGAAGATCCTTACAAAGCCTATTTCGGACATCCAGAATTAGATGCTTTATTAGGCAATAGTCTTTTAAAAGGGTAAATCATTTTCATTGAGTAAGACACACCAACAACTATCTATAAATAATTCTTGAGATATTGTATTGGTAATTCATTTCATAAAAATCATGTTTCTATTATTTTTGATCAATTTTCTGAACAATGGTCTAAAATTATTCCTAAAAAATAAGTTGAAAGTTCATAATAATAGGAAGAAAAAGAATTATAACATAAGATCGCTTGGCGATACAATCAAATGTAATAGCAATTCACTATTAAGAATATTGATTCCTCTATATTTTATTTGGATTTATCAAAATCAGAAACTGAACAAGCTGTTGAAAATCATTTAAAACTAAATAATTATGATGAAATAAATAACTTATAATAATTCTTGCAAATTATTACTAAATAATACTAAAAATCATTAAAAACAAGCACAGATTCTACTATGAAAAAATTAATTATTCATGATTTTTGGGATAAGATTCCTTATAATCAATAAGAACTCAATCAATTTTTATATGCTTTAAAAGTACTCATTCGATCATCATATTTATTATGTATAATTACACTTCCTGAAAGAAGAACAGATTTAATGCAATTTTGTGACTTTTACATTACAATCACATAACTTTTTGGAAACAAAGAATTTTCTGATTTTCAAGGAATGATTAAATTTGATAAAATAGGATGGAGTGGTTCACTTAAGTAAGTATAATTAGATAATGATAAATGGGGAATCAAAATTACATAAAAATAATTGAAAATAGAATAATTATATGAGACAGCCATAGAGGATGATTCAGAAGAAGAACAAAAAAATAAGATTAAAATTGAATAATTTTGATATTTAATTATAATATTAAGATAATTTATATTCTTAAAATTCTTTAGTAATTTAATAAATAATTATTATTATCTTTTAAATAAATACAATTATATTGTTTTACATCTATTAAAGAGTATTTTAAATAATAATTTTATCTAATATGTAAATATAATTAATACAATAATGATTTATAATTAACACAATATAAATTTAGACAATATTTGAAGCAATTTTGTTATTAATTCAAAGATAAGAGAATCTACAATGTAGTTATTAATTTAAAGATAAGAGAATCTGCGATGTTCTTATTAATTTAAAGATAAGAGAATCTAATATATAAATGAATATACTTAAATTATAAGAATATGAATAGTATTTAAATATAGAATATGAAATGAATTTAAATAACATATGATTTTGAAGTTTTAATACTAGATAAAAATTGAAAATTATATCTATTAATTATTATGAATGTATATGAATTAGTGTATGATTAAAATGTTAAGTAGATACCCTAAAAATTATGAAAAGAATGATCAAATATTATTTACTATTAGATATAAATAATACACATATGAGAATTAGTAGATGGATATAAAGGATATCTGATGGGGTTACAATAATAATAATATTTTAATAATATATTAATTACTTATATGGATAAATCGGTTAAAATTAATGAAAAGGGAACAGGAATTACAGAATAAATTTAGAATGAAATAGTCACAATTGTTAAAAATGCAATTTAAGTGCATAAGCAATTTTTGGGAGAGGTCTGCAATCAAATTGCTAATGTTTTGTGTCAAAAATATGGAGGATGGTGGTGTTGCTTTGTAACAGACAAAGACGCCAATTACGGATCAAGATTATTTAACTTTGATCATATGTATTTAGATGCAACAATAGAGTAAAAACGATTTACAATTTTCAAATCAGCAAAATGATTATATCGATTAAATGCAAAACCATTTATTAATTATCATTACAAGTTGACGTGGCCGAGTGGTCTAAGGCGCTGGATTAAGGCTCCAGTCCGAAAGGGCGCGAGTTCGAACCTCGCCGTCAACATATTTTTTTTTTAGTGGCATATTTTTTTATATTTATAAAATATACTTATTTAATCATTTCTTAGCACTTATAGGTCTTTTAGCACCATTACTTTATTTATTTACTACTGCAGATTATGGTCTTTATACATAATGTTATTAATTAAATTATTAAGATTCGTCTTATTAGAGATCATAAAACTATTATTAATCAATAGTTTATCTTTTCATATCAGCTTAGTAATATTTTCCATCAGTTCCTTTCACCTAAGATACATAAAAACATTACTCTTTATTAATTGGTAGTGCTACAACTAAGACAATTAATGGGATAGAGTTTCTTTGTGTTGATTCCAATAATTTAATCAGTAGGAGGTGAAGCTGATTATTAGAAATTCATAGGTGATTTTTTTAATTGTACTATTCATTAAATATAATAAATTACCTTATAAGGCATCTATTTCTCTTCTTAAATAATTGATAGTTTCCATAGCTTATCCTAATCTAGTTTCTAAATTAAATAATTCTCTCTTCATATCATCTTCATTGGCCTTAGTTTTTACTTATTTTATTAATCCATTGATATCAACATCTCTAAATATTCTATTCACTCTTCTTTCTATTTCATTTGCACTTTCAACTTTATGGCCTATGTCTTAAAGATCTTTTTGTATTTTTCTAATTTTATCATCTTCTAAATTTCCCTACTATTAAAATTATTCAAACATTCTATTAATTTCATCTTTAGTAACATATTTAGATTCTTCTGGTGTTGATTATTATTATTATTGTTATTATTATTAATATAATTATGAAAAGAATTGGAAACTATCATAACGTGATTTGAATTCTGCATCAAGAGTTTCCCAATGTACATTATTTCTAATAGACATTTCTTCTAATTTTTTGATATCTCCTTCAAGAGTACAAATTTTATGAGGATCAATTTTAGATAATAGATAGGCTACATTTTCAGCATTTAAATTCATATCCTTTAAAGCTTCAACTCTTTCTTTAGCTTCATCATTTAATCTTTAAATTCCATCTTCTAATTATTTAATTTTTTATCTATGTTAATCTAATTGATTTGAAACATCCAATTTATTTATAGCAGTAGCTAATCTACTATTTAAATCTATTATTTTATCTCCTTATTGTTTATTTTATTCCACCAATTTATCTATTAAATTTATTTTAGATTTCAATCTAAAAATATTAATAAAAATTTACAAATCATTCATTTCATTTAATTATATTTTTAATTTTGATTGTTTTTCTCCAACTGTGTCATCAATTCCTTTGATTTAACTTCTAATATATGCAATATCTTATTGAAATTTAATTAATTGATCATTATTTTACATTTATTAAATCTAATATTATATAATTCAATATACTTCTTTTAATAATTTATCTTCACTAGTTCTAATAGCCTCATTAACAAATTCTTCATTTGTTCTTTTAGATAATAAATCTTAACAATCATGTATTTTCCATAAAGTTTTTCTTATATTTAAACTCAATTAATATACCTTTCTACATCTCTAACTGCCTCTTCAAATTTTTATATATCAGTTGATAATTTCTTTTCAACAGTATCTAATTCATGTCTATTATTCTTTTGTAAATCTTCAATCTACTATTCTAATTGATTTTTTTATTTTCTCATCTTCTCTTTACATTCTTTAGTATCAAACTTTGTTAACATATCATTTTCTAATTTTGTTAATCGTTAATCTTATCTCTACTATTAATATTAATATCTACCTTCTTCTCTCTATAAAGATGTTAAATCATTGAGATAACTGAAAATAATTTTCCTCTCATTTCAGTAATAATTTTCTCTAAAGCTCCTTTTCCATACTTTTACTTTCCTTAGATTTATGTAATGTATGTGCTTAATTAAGTTGATAATTCTTTTTCTATATCTTTATCTGAAAAATGTAATGAATCACTTAATAATTGAAACTATTCTTAAACCTAAATTAGATTGAACTTAAACTAATAATATAATTTCGCTAGGTCCTAGCAATTTCTTTATTCCTTCTATCTCCACTGTATGATTATCAAGATCAGCTTAAACTCCTTCTAAAAATTGTTTCAAATGATCATAATTAACATCCAGTTTAAATAATGACACTCCTTTCAAACTCAACTCATCTATAATTGAATATTCAACAATACCTCCCAATTCTTTTCTGCTTTTAGAACTTCCTTTACTCTTATTATCCATTTAATATATAATAAATTTATAAATAACATTCAGTCTTATAACTATAGACAATTCAAACACATAAACATAAATAATTATATAATCAGAAATAATCATCTTAAAAGTTCTATTCTAATACTTGCTTAAATTGATTTAAGTTTATATTGTCACTTTTGTTTTATGCAAATAATTTAAAAGTTTCAAAAATTTCCCAATCACTTAATGTAGTATCATAATTTCTAAAAATAAGTTTAATTAATACAGCATCATATTAGTAAAATCTTGATAGTTCATTATATCTGAAGTTGTTGCAAATTTATGAAACAATTCAACTAAATTTAAATTATTTGTCTTTATTTCATCATAAAGTATTTAAATCAGTTATCTATCTTAATTTAATTCATTCTATTATAAACCTTATTATATTTATTTTTTTTCAGGAGCTCCATATACAGTATTTGAACCACTTCTCATATATGTATCTTCCAAAGAAATCTATAATATATAAATTTATAACATCATATTTATTAAGCCAATCTAATAGATTTTCGCATGTTATTTATCCATTTGACTCTTCATCAATACAATTAAATATATATTAGATCTCTTCATCCTCTAAATTTTCATTTATGGCTAAAAAAATCTCACTAAAGCCTTCAATATTAAGTATTTTATTTTCATCTTCAGCCAATTCTCTTAGTAATTCATTAATACTAAGTTATTAAGTTCCGAATTATTCTCTCATACTCATTGCTATAGATAATTCTTTTTCCTATCATTCATTAATTATATACTTCGAATAAATTTTCTACTTTAGGATCTTAAACGAAATACTAAGCAAAAACTGGATGATGATATACATCTTGCCAACTCAATCTTTCATCTAAAAATATTAAATTCTTAACCTTCTTAAATTATCAAACATTTAGTAATAAAGTCTTTTACATTATCTGATACTTGATTAATTGAATCATGGAATACAAGAGGTTAAGTATAAATATTTTTAACTAATTGAGGAATTGATTATGCTGTCCAAGGAGCTAAGAAATTAATAAGAATATTAATACATTATCCATAAAGCATTTCATAGAATAGAAATCCTAAAGACCAAATATCACATTTCATAGAGTATTATTCATTTCTTAATATTTATGGACTCATGTACAAAGGTGTGCCTACTTAAGAGTGTAATACATTGGGATTAAAGTTATCCACAATTTTAGCGAAACCAAAATCTATAAAATATAGAAAAATAAAAAGACCAGCAAGTTTATAAGTATTGTTATGTATTAAAATATTTGCAGGTTTTAGATCTCTATGAATAATCCTGTACTTTAATAACTCATAAAAACCTTCGAGAACATTAATTATGATATTCAATGCCATTTTTTCATCAACCTATCTATTCTTCTTTAAAAATCTAGGATAAAAATGAAATAGACTTGGATAAATCTCCATTCTCGCATAATTCTTGAATGATATAAAAATTATTTTGTGTCTCTAACACATCAATGAGTTGAACTATATTTTTATGATTTAACTTTTTCATTATTTTGATTTCAGTCATAAGTCCACTTTTACCTTTTGGATCATTAAGCAAATTATCCTTAGCTATCATTTTTAGGGCTACATAACGATTGTTTTTTAAATCAATGCCTTGGAAAACAGTGCCAAAAGATCCAACACCAAGTACATCTGAGGTATGGAATGAATAATGATCGATGTTTTTTTCAGTCATTCTTTTTTGATGATTTAAAAAAAAAAAAGTATTATATTTGAATACGTATTTATTTTGAAATAATATGTCTCTTTTGATAGAATATAATATATATTAATTAAGTTGAAACTCGCTAGTTCACAGTGTTTAGGCTACCAGATAATTAAATCAATTCTTTCAAGAAATTAGAATTCAACGAAAATACTGAGTTTTCTACCATTAATACATATATTAAAAAAAATATTAAATAACAATTTGAATCTAATTATAATTTCAAATATGAACCTTATAAATGAGAGTATTCTATTATTTATCAAAAATAAATATAAATTGATTAAGTAAAGATTACTTATTACATTATTTTATAAGGATTTAATTTCCAAAATGAGATAATTTCATTATATAAGTTTGATAATCTAAAACTTCAATATTTCGAAGTTAATTTTTTTTCATTTTCTTATCAAGCATATTGGAATTAAAATAACTAAATTTATTATAAGTTCGATTTAAAAGACTTTAATATTTAATAAGGTTATCTAATTGAAATTCTAATGATGTTTATTGTTTTAGAGAGTTGTATAGCTTTGATATTTTATTGAATTATTTCCATTTGATATAATAAGTATTAGAAGACAATTCTATATATGATGGATGGATAGAATTGACTTTCTATACATCCATTTGTATTCAATATAATTTCTGTATGTATATTTATATATATATCTTATTTTAATATTCTGTTCAAATAATTATATTAAATGGCTTCACTAAATAAATTAAGTAGCAATGATATTGGTAATGTTGATAGATAGATTGCCAAATTAAAGCAAGGATAAATATTGACAGAATCAGAAATCAAGAGTTTATGCAATAAAGTTATAGTATTTTGCTATTACTTAGGCAAAAGAGATTTTGTCAGATGAACCTAATATCATCTAAGTTAGAGCACCTCTTACGATTTGTGGAGATATCCATGGTCAATTTCATGATTTAATAGAACTCTTTTAAATTGGAGGAAACTTACCAGTATTTACATTTTGCAAATCTGTTCTAGGATACAAATTACCTATTTCTAGGAGATTATGTAGATAGAGGTTCACAATCTGTAGAAACATTCTCATTAATGCTTTCACTAAAAGTCAGATATAAAGATCGCATTGTATTATTAAGAGGTATTAATCATAATATTCTTACAGGAAATCATGAAAACAGAGAAATCAATAAAGTATATGGATTTTATGATGAATGCTTTCGTAAATATGGAAATGAAATAGTATGGAAGTAATTTACAGAAGTATTTGGCTATTTGCCACTTTCAGCAATAGTAGAATAACAAGTAACATAAATTCTAATTCAATTAAAGATTTTTTGTGCTCATGGAGGTTTATCACCAGCAATGGAATCAGTTGATCAAATTAAATAATTGAATAGAGTCTAAGATATTCCCCATGAGGGCTTAATGTGTGATCTTCTATGGAGTGATCCTGAAGAAACCAAAAATGGTATTGTCATTTCTTAATACCTCATCAGGTTGGGGTATTTCACCAAGAGGTGCAGGTTGGACTTGGGGATGTGATATAACAGAAAAATTCCTACATTCCAATAAACTCAAACAAATTGCCAGAGCACATTAATTAGTAATGGAAGGAATTCAGAAAATCCATAATTAAAAGACTATTACAATATTTTCTGCACCTAATTATTGTTATCGTTGTGGTAATCAAGCTTGCATTGTAGAAGTTGATGAACAACTAAGAATGAATCAGTAATTCAATTCATACATTCTAGAACTTAATTTGAGCCTGCCCCTCGAGAAAATGAACCTCATACAACTAGAAGAGTACCTGATTATTTTCTTTGAAATATATAAATATGTTATCTAATATCAATTAGTGTCTCTTTGACATTATGCTTTACAACCCATACTACTTTATTCAAGCAAAAATTCCATACAATTTTCTATAGAAGCTCTACATTATTCAATTTGCTAATTAAGGAATACTATACCTCTCCTTTCTTCAAGCAACACTATTATTTGCATCCCTCAAACTATTACCTAAACCTAAATATTGGGCAAGAAACAAATTTTGGACATTACTTCCCTATTCTCAAGGAGCACTAACACTTATATGGATGTTCAATCGCTTTGTAATTCCTAATGAAGGATTTCAATTTGTTTTTGCAAAATAAATTTAACACATTCAAGAACATAATCTATTACAAACTCCATTACTTTATAATAGATAATACATAATTAACAAATTAATGAGCTATCATGAAGAGCAATCTAAAACAACATCCAATAAAAAATTATCCCTCAATTAAAAATTAAAAGATGCCAATCAAATAATTATTGATAAATCTCTTGACAATTCTAGAGTCCGATAAATTTACTAGTTAGAATTCGATTAATCACTATATTCTGATATCCAAATTTATAAAAAAGAATTATCTAGCTATCTATTGAATCATGTCTGAATTATAAATAAATGAGATATTATATATTTACATTAAACGAGAATTCAGTTTTATCTTTTGATATCTTATTAATAAATAAGTTTGGTTTATTTTGTTTTATCATACTTTTTAATAATATATGAACTACTTCTTATTTCTATATAAATATATTATTATTATATTAATAGTTTATAATTTAGAAATAATTTAATATCTAAATCATCTTTTGAATTAATAAATTAGAATAATATATTAAATAATATTCATTTATCATTCTAAACCTAATATCCAATTAAGTGTATTTAACATTTATTTACATAAATGATCATTATTTCCAATAATTTATATTGTACATTGCATATTGGGTAAAACTATAAACTTGATCATGTAATTTTAATTCACATTCGTCAATTCAAAAATACCACCTAACTTAATGCCAATTATTATTACAAAGTTTATAAGAAATGTATTTTAATTATCTATCATTAAAGTATTCTAATTACTAATCTTAAAATTATTGATAAGAATTATATTCACATAATTTTGGAAATATTCTAATTTCTAATAAATTTAATACTTTTTTAAATAATGTCCTGTTTTTACTATTTTTGGATTCAACAAAAATGTTTCCCCTTTAAAAACCTATTATTTTTTTAATCTCCATTTTGTTCTAAATATTTATAAACTTATATCTTTGAAATCCATAAATGAAACTAATGATGTTGTTAAGAAGAAATTCGATGTTATTTATTTGTTAGCCCATTCAGCTATTAATAAATATTAATCTATTACCAGAAAATATTACATTTACTAATCTATAATTTTCAAACTATTTAAAAATTCCTATAACTTCTTATTAAACTTATTAACCTGCTTCAATTTTATCAGCAATCCTATCTGGCTTAAGCCACATCGAAAATTCTTAAAATATTCATAATTTAAATTACGGTTATTATCTCCTTCAAATTGCATTCTACAATTTTCAAAGTTTGATTGAGTCTTATTTCCAATATATAAAATTAACTTCAAATAATTTTTCTCTTTTAATGGAACATATTGTAATACTTATTTTATTCCTACTTAAAGTTAAGGGGAATTTACTAATGCTGCTTTACCCTTTAAAGTAGCTATTTTAAAACGCTTCTTTTATGATTCTGTTAAGCCATATGTATGTAATAGCTCAAATTAGGAATTGTCATATTTAACTTACATTCCTAGATATTGTTTGAGAGGTATCTATTGATCCATTTTCAAAGGGTAATATTACTAAGTTAAAGTAGATTAACTTAATCCATCAAAATTTTCTTAAAATTCCTTCTTTTTTCCTATATTAGAAGTTATGTGATTCATAGGGAGTTATTCTCTTTTATTATTTCCTTATAAATGATTTTAGTTTGGAATTTCAGAAATATTGTAATTTTATTCAAATTAATTATCATTAGTTTATTTAATAGTTTATTTTTAATGATATTATTAATCAACATTAGTATAAGTATGGTTCTAAACAGTATTATTTGATTATTAATGTTACTTTTATTATTAAAATGATGATTATAGATATTATTATTATTATTATTAGTATTATTATTATTATGGATTTATATGTGAACCTTATTTTATTTGTGTCATATATTATTAATTATCTTTATTAGGATTTTGAAATTAATTGTTCCAATAATCCTCAATTTCTTTTTATTTTTACTTTTATTGTAATTATTATTAGACTTCCAATCTATTTTATTCTTATTTTAATAATTCTAATTTTAATTGTTCCCTTTTTTTTTCTTCTTATCTTAACTATTCTTACTTAACTTATTCTTATCTTTCATGCTCTTTTCTTTCATTTTCTCTTCTTTATTCTTCTACTCTAATTTACTCTTCTCTAATTTTAGCTTATCTTAATTCTTCTTCTTATTATCTCTTAATTTCTTCTTATTTTTTTTTTTCTTCAAATTATTTCTATTATATTTAAGATTGTTATTATTGTATTTTTGATTCTTCTATAGCTCTTCTCAGCATCTCATCTTCATTTTAAAATTATGATTACTAGAATTTTTGTGACTTTTATTATTTCTACTATTAAGGAGGAGGATATTCAAAATCTTTATTTTATATCTTTTAAATATGAGCTAATGTTTTCTTTTTCAATGAATTATAAGCTCCAGAGGTACATTCCTTTTCAAGATAACCATAATAATATTTTTAGAATTTCTATACGAAATCTTTAAGAGCATATAATTCTGCAAGTTCATCTTCATTTAAAACGCCTTCATAATTTTATGCTTTATTAATGAGATTTTCAAATGTTTTTTCCATGACATTCATAGATTCACTATAAGTCACTAGAACTTCATTTATATATGTCATATCAGAATCATTAATTAGTGTTTCATTAATCATCTCAATGTCTTGATAAATGGTTTATTTGCTTTGATCTTAAGTAGGATATGGTAGTTACTTAGTTTTAGCATGGTTTCATCCCTTTCTTTATTATTATCTAGTGGTTTTGATTTAGGTTCTTAGGAAGCCTTATTTGGATCAAATGGCAAAATGAGACTGGATAAAGGTCGAAATTTGACCTTAAGTTTAAAATGAATTCTATACTCCCATTTAAACTAATTCATCATATTAGATTTTGAATTTAGTGGGTGCTCCTTTTGAATCTTTGGGAAATGTTGTAGCAAGAAATTCAACCAATTCAAGGGTCAAGTTTAAGAATTCAATACTTGATTGGGGATCTAAATAAATATTAGATAGAACCTTATCCTTAGAATAGATCAGCACCTCTATTTGGATTAGAATCGCCTAATTTATGAGTACAGATATTTCCTATAAATGTCAACAAGGGTCTAGTTTAAATGTATTTGTTAATAAATTTAGAAGATTTGATGACAATGGCATCTTTAATAAGCTAAGATATGATTGATAATACTCTCAAGATTAATAATTTCCTTAAGGGTGGTTCATTTGAATTAAAAACTTGGAGAGCATATTCAAGGGTAGCATCAATTAATTCAAGATCATTAGCTTTTAGTTTATCAATGATTTTTTATGCATTTCTATTGTAAGCAGCTTTATCTTGAGTGGCAGTTTGTATTTATATTTGTTGCATTAATAATATGAATTAAATTTTGTAAATACCTCCAAAGTATTATGCAAATTTCAATAAGAGTCAACCAAAGGAATATTGGGATTATGATAATTTTGAAAATGAATGGGGAGTATAAAGATAATAATTAATATTTATAGGATAGTGATTAATATGAAGTGATAAGGAAGATAGGAAGAGGGAAATATTCAGATGTATATGAAGGAATCAAATATCCATAAGGGACAAGAGTAGTAATAAAAGTGTTGAAACCAGTGAAGAAATAGAAAATAAAAAGAGAAACTAAAATATTACTCACAATTAGAGGTCATCCAAATGTTATAGAATTGTCAGATATTGTTAGAGATCCATCATCTAAAACACCATGTTTAATTTTTGATTACATTGATCATGTTGATTTTAGAAGTTTGTTCCCTAAATTAACTGATATTGAAATAAGATTCTATCTTTTCGAATTAATTAAAGCCTTAGATTATTGTCATTCAAAAGGTATAATGCATAGAGATGTAAAACCATAAAATATAATTGTGGATCCAAAAAAAAAATTGTTAAAATTACTTGATTTTGGTTTGGCTGAATATTATCATCCAGGATAAGATTATAATGTTAGAGTAGCTTCACGTTATTTTAAAGGACCAGAATTATTAGTTGATAATGTATATTATGATTATTCATTGGATATATGGAGTACTGGAGCAATGATGGCATCTATGGTATCTAATTAACATAATCTTAGATCTTTAAAAAAGAACCATTTTTTTAAGGATAAGATAATTATGACTAATTAGTTGTGATTTCTAAAGTTTTAGGAACTGAAGAATTACAAGCTTATATTAAGAAATATAGAATTAGATTAGATCCTGTATTAGAATCTAAATTAGGAAAGTAAATTAATTATATCTAATTTATTAGTTATCCAAAGAAAGAATGGGTTAAATTTATTAATGCTGAAAATAAACATTTATGTAGTGATGAGGCTATTGATATACTCTCAAGAATGCTTGTTTATGATCATGTAAAACTATTCTTTTATTTCAGGCCCTTAGAATCACACCAAAAGATGCAATGGATCATCCATATTTCTTACCTGTCAAAGGTAAATGATTATCATTGTTATTAAATTTATCATAAATAAATAATTATTAATCATCCTGGCAGTTTTTTATTTTTTCCATTTAACAGTTTTCTGATGAATGGTAAAGGTGCTCCTACACTTTATTATAAATTATCTAAAATTGGAAAATTATATATTGTTTTCTTAGGAATTATTTAAGTAATATTGATTCTTTCTATTGTCTAATTAAATGGAGAACCATCTAAATGAGATGAGGCTCTCTGTTTGTTTTCAAATCTGAATGATTATAATAATTTGCTATTAGTTCTCCCTCTTTTTTAAATTAAATTTCTGCTTTCATTACTATGTGCATTCTTAGATCTAAATTCCCAATTTTGAATACTCAAATCAGGATACAATGATGGACGTGGTTAATCTCTAATTAATATTATTTAATTACTTTTTTGTTAATAAATATAAGGGAGTAACCTTAATTTTCCTTGAAACACTTTAAACTTTCATATGTTTTAATATATTATCTCCTTATTCAATCAAATTTTAATGGCTTAATTCCTTTTTCATTTAATTCTAAAGTTCATTTAATTTCTCTTTATCATAATCTTCAAATATTTCTGCATCAGATTAACTATTAATCTCATCATCAGAATCATGTTTTACTTCTGTTTATTCTACTTTCAATGACATTTCATTTATTTTCTTTAACAATTAATTCGATTCTATAATTCATATCTTTAGCTTTACTTAATTATTTTTAATGTTATTGTTTCATGTTCAAATATAGAAATAATGTTTCAGCTATACAGAATCCACTTTGTACCCAATCACTACTAATGAATCTCACATTTTTTCCCTTCTAATAACCACAAAATGATGCTTCTATAGTATAACAAATAGATTCAATAAATTAATTGGCATATGCTCTAGCTGTTCCTAATTTAAATTTTGGTATTCCAAATTCACATGATCTAAATCGAAATGAATCTAATCTTTATTATAAAATCAATGGAACTATTTTTGTTTCAGAACTAAGTGTAGGACCATACATAAATATATTCTTTCTAACTTAATGACCATGAAAATCAAAATAACCAATTAATTTTTATTGATTATCTTCAATTAAACATTTCAATGCTTTTACTTCTGGTAATAATGTTAAATCTGTTTCTTAAAATTATCTATTAAGATCTACTCCACTTAAACCATTTCTATAATTTCCTACTATTACTCCATCTGGATTTAACATTGGTATTATCTTAAATATAATACTATTGATATTAATAATATTTTATACTTTTTTCGTAGATATTAGGCCATGAAAGATTCACCTAATAAAAATGAGATAAAACCTTAAATCATATAAGAACTGCAAGTTTCAGATGGATGTACTCTAGCTGTTAAAATAATAATTTTTTTATTTTTATCTATTGATTTATCAGTTATTATAATAAGTGGCAACACTAATCCAGATAAAGTATTTGATATTTTTAATTTTGTGAAATATTATTTAGATGATTTATTCCATTTTTTTATTTTATTAATTAATTAAGTGTAAGTATAAGGTGGTAATGTTGCAAAAAAGACTTCATCATTTTCATATTCAAAATAATAGATAAATGAGAGTATAAAGTATTAACCTTATTATTAATATTTAATGTTATCACCTTATTGAGTGAAATATTTATTTTTACTCTTTTTTGATAAAACATAAGGTTTCATTCCTTTTATATATAAACTTTGAGGTTTTGTAAAATTGCAAATATTGAATTTTACTTTTCTTTATTCATTTTATGTTATTTTAAAATAAAACCAATTACTATGACCTATAGAATTAGTATCAATTCTCATATATAAATTATATTCATCATTTGAAATCTAACAATATAGTTGAATTAATTACTTAATCAACTCGATCGAGATTACCAGATTCAAAGTTAGAATCAAATACTATTCCTGATTTTATCATTCCAACAAAAGGTCTGCAAATTTATGGTGTTTAAATTTCAAAATCTTATTGTTCTTCAGTATTTTTTATTAACATATGAATTTATTTAGTATTATAAAATGGTTAACTTAAGTAAATTGTTTTATTGTTTATGATAGCTTTTGGAACATTTAAATTCAATATACGACATTATTTTTTAGATTCTTAAATAATGGGTTTTTATTCAAAAGTTTGATTACATTCTTCATTATTTTAGACAGTTTTGGATTTTTTTATTGATTGTTCTTAATCATATTGATCAATATCATTTGATGAATCAAATCCTTCTCTCGAACTACATTGTTTAAGAATCATTTATATAAAATTATCATTTAAGGGGTATTTAATTATTGAATAAATATCAGAAGAATAAGTAAATATTCAAAGAGAATAAAAATTATGGAATTCTAAGACAATTGAAGTTACAAACAGAATTCAAAATAATTTTTAATCAAAAAATAACACGTTGTATTAATTTATTTAATTAATGTTTATTCTTCTCTTACTTTCAACCATTTAAGCACTTTCAACTGGATTAGATGGTGGTAAAGAATTGTGTTTAGGAGTCTAAGGAAAGAAAACAGCATTATTTTAAATCTCTTTTGTTGTTTCTGGTTTCTAGGAAGACAATATTGAAATGAAAGTAAAATTACATTATTTACATTTAGTTTTATTCTCCAAGAAAAACTCTTTTGAAATCTAGTATAAAATAAAAGGAAGGCAATTATAAAGAAATAATGACAGATGATGGATAATATGAAGTATGTTTCAAATCATTAGATAAATATTATAAATTGATTAGTTTTAATTTTGATTTTGTAGAAGAAAATGATTTAGCATTAGCAGGTATATTATTATCTTTATATAAATAGAAACTATGGATTAAATGGCTGAAGAGATGAAATAAGCATATAGAAGTTTAAAGACAATATAAAATAATTAACATTATTAAAATGATAGAGAAAATGAACATTAAAGAATGTTAGAATCAACAGAAAAGAAATTATGGTGGTGTTCAGCAGGTAAAATGGGAGCTTTAATTGTCATATGCATTTCTCAAATATATATGTTAACAGGATACTTTAAAGGAAAATCATTTGGTCCAAATGTATGAGATTTTTTATATAAATTAATATATTTATGGATTAAAAGCAAGATTATGCAAATATCATTTTGACTCAATTAGAGTCAATAGAAACCTTAAACTCTTTAGAAATAGCTAAATCTTTATCAATTAATCATTAAGATCTAGTTGGATGTCTTTTGCAATTAGAATCTGCTAATTATATTAAGACTGAAGTACATAGAATCTTAATTATAAATAGGGATAAAAATAGGATTAATTAATCTTAACTAATGAAGGAACTACAATATTAAATTCTTAATCAGGAGAATATGAAATCTATTAGAAAATACCATAAGAAGGAATATCAATGCTAGATTTATAAAAGTTATTTGGAATTGAATAAGTTCAAAAAGTAAAATAAGAATAAGGAGAAAAGAAAGAAAAATAAATAGAAGATCCAAAAAAGAAATAATTTGATTTAGGTTTTGGTAATGCTAAAAAAATGGGTTATATCAAAATGGATAAAGGTCTAATAAGTAAAGTTGCCAATGATTTACCTGATAAAATTAAATTGGAATTATCATAATTAAACACTATCAAATTAGGTTCACAATAAGCAAAATTATTAATTGAAAGAAAACTTGCTATGATTTCAACTATTAAATATTTTGAAATTAAAAAAGGCATTAAATATGCTAATAAATTTAGAGAATAATTTGCAGCTTTAACTACAGAGTAATTATTAAATGGAGAATGGAAAGAGTGTGATTATAAAAGCATTAATTTAAATGCAGAAGGTGAAAAGAGTAATAATTCTTATTTTATAATAATAGTTTCTATGGGTAATTTGCATCCTTTATTGAAAGTAAGGAAATAGTTTTCATAAATATTAATTGGATTAGGATTTGAAGAAATGCCAACAAATTAATTTGTAGAATCTTCTTTCTGGAATTTTGATGCTCTATTTTAACCATAAAAACATCCAGCAAGAGATGCTCATGATACTTTCTTTTGCAGTGATCCAGAATTAAGTGAAGAAGTTGATACAAATCTTAGAGATAAAGTAAAGTCTATGCATTAGACTGGAGGTGTAGGTAGTATTGGATATCAATATGAATGGTCACATGAAGAAGCTAGAAAAAATATATTAAGAACACATACAACAGCTGTCTCATCTAAAATGTTATATAGAATAGCATAATTATATAAAGAGAAAGGATACTTTCCTAAAAAATATTTTAGCATTGATAAAGTGTTTAGAAATGAAACTTTAGATGCTACTCATTTAGCTGAATTCCATTAGATTGAAGGCATTGTTATTGATAAGAATGCTTCATTAGGATAATTAATGGGAATAATTAGAGAATTCTTTAGATAAATAGGAATTAATAAATTGTGGTTTAAACCTACATATAATCCTTATACTGAGCCTAGTATGGAAATTTATGGTAATATATATATATAATATTTTATTATAGGATATCATCCTGTTTTGAAAAAGAAAGTAGAGATAGGTAATTCTGGTGTGTTTAGACCTGAAATGTTGGCACCTCTTGGAATTCCAGAAGATGTGAATGTAATTGCATGGGGGTTGGGCTTGGAAAGACCAACTATGATTTATTATGATATTAGAGATATTAGAACTATGGTAGGGCCAGAAGTTAAAGTTGAAACTGTTAGATAGAATGCATTCTGTGTCTTTGAAAGTAAATGATATATTTATAATATAAATATTATATACATATGCATTATCATTCTTTAGCAATTTTGCCTCTTTTCTTTAATAATTTATTTTTTTTCTACATCACCTTGGTTTTCATTTTTCTTTATCTTTTTTCTTAAAACTTTTAAGGATCTTTAATGGCTAACATCTTAGTTTATATTTTCTTTTCCCCTTTCACTTTATTTAGCTCTTGTTAAATAGCAGAATATTTAGATATGAATTCTTAAGGTCCTAGTTATTTCTCTATTAATTTTAAAATCTAAATAATTATAATATAGTACTTAATCTATTATTGGTAAATCTTATTATAATGATTAGATTTTCAATATGCTTTCTATCATTTTTTGATTACTTTCATATCCATTATTCATTATATATTAGTAGAATTCCATTAAATTTTCAATACCTTTATTAAATTTTAATTATTTTGCCATCAAATTTGTTGTAACTTTTAATAAACAATCAAAGATTAATTAGATTATAGATTATTAGTCTAATTATTTTAATAAATTTAAATAATCTAAAATAAATTAGAATGTTAATTCTTAATTAATAATTATTTAATTTCTTGCAAATTTTATTAAAAATAGATATTTAGTGATATTTTACATATTTTTAATAATGTGATCTTATTAAATTTAAATTTGAGTATGAATAATAGATAAATGCTTAGATCTTATAAATAATTAAATAGCTTGATTAGCAGTTTCTTAATGTGGATATGATACACATTTGAATAATTTACAAATAGTATTTTATTCATAAATTAATATTAATTAATTTTCATCAATAGCATTTAAAAGTTTTAATAATGAATGAAGTGATTCTTATAACTCTGGATATTCTGATACTGTAATAGCTTCTAATTCATTAGCCCATTAACTATTTTTTAAATTTTTGTTTTAAATATTTTTAGCTTATATAGTGTTTTTCCATTCATTCCAATTAGTAATACATTTATCAATTAATTCATTTGATGATAATATAAATTTTGATTAATAATACTTCAAATGATCTTTTAAAATATATAAACTTTCTAATCCTGATAATTATACCTTTAATTTATCATTTGTCATCCAAATCAATGAATTTTATGTAAATTTCATAATTTTATCTTAAGTAGTTTTCTATATTAATATATTTAACACATTAATAAGTTATTCTTTTAGAGTATCTACATCTTCTTTGACCAATGCCACAATCATAGAGAAATATGATATTTCAGATAATTTATTTACTGTTTCTTAAGGGAAGAATTAGAATATTTATTATAAACATTAGAGTATAATTTATCTTCCACTAAAATATTTATATTAAAGATTTGCAATTATAAAGTCATAATGTTATTATAAAACTTAACTTGATAATGGATATTTGATTAAAAAATTAATATAGATTTATTAACATAAATGTTAGGTCTTTTTAGTTGTTTGTAACATTGATTCTCTAACTTTCATAATGATATCATATATTTATGGCAATGGCCAAATTTCATGAATAATTAATTTTAAGCATTCTAATGCTTCATTAGATTCTAAATAGAGATCTATAAAATGAACTAATGTTTTTTATTATTATAAAGTAAATTCATTTAGTTTGCTATCTAAAATAGCTTTTAATAATAGAAATGAATCTCTAATAAATTATTCATCTGTTGATGTTATAGTAGATAAACATTACATAGCATTTTAAACAATTTATTTTTTAAATTAAATAACCCAATCAAACTTTTTAATCATTGCTGAAATGACTGACACACATTCTGTTATCATATCTTTATGATTTAGACAATCTAATATAATTGAAAACATCTTTTATAAAAGAGGAGAATCTTCAACATTTTAAATATTGTGATGAAGAAGTTTAATACTTATAAAATTAACAAGTCCATAAATAATAGTACTTGAGGTTTTCAATTTATTTTATTTAATATATGTAGAAATAGATTATGATCCATAAGTTGGTAATTATATAGACATAATATCTTCTTTAGTTATTCGTTTATATGTTCCTTAAGCATATGTAAAATCTAAATTATGAGTTTATTTTAATGAATCTGCTAATTTATAACTAGTTTCACAAATCATTAAATAAATTACTTAAACTAAATTCTAGACTGATGAATTATTAATCAATCCTAAATATAGATGTTCAAATATAAGTCTAAGTTTACTTTATAAATTATGAGATATCTAATATTGAGTAATATAATAATCTATAGTACCAATTAATTTAGGTAATGAATTAACAAAATTAATTAATTATCCAACAATTTTAAAATTCTACATTCCTTTTTTACTTTTAAGTTCTTTAGTTTTTTTAGGTAATGTTTCAGTATCTTTTTCTGTACATAATCTTCCAAATACTTCATCTAATAATATTTCCATAATTTCTTCTAAACAATTATCAATTTATCCAATTTCAGTAATTTATTCTAATAATAAACCTAATGTATAAGATAAAACATGATTTTCAAATCCTTAAATAAGTATAGATTTCATTTAAATAATAATGAATTTTAAAAAT